CTACGACCGTGTTGCGCGTAACTAAACAGCATTTCCAATCCCTGTAGTATACATTTCAACTATTTTATCTTTATAGATAACCTTTAAACATGAAGAAAATACAATATGTAGTAAGTAACTTGAACCTTCTTCAATCTTCTTGTCTTCTTTTGACGAACAACTCTGTAATTTGTTGCCCTTCGCTAGGCAGCTGGCGATACACAAGCAAACTGCCATACGATGAGCCGCAATTAACACGAGTTTTATCTTCTTTAATCTTATTATTTCACGTCACATCATACATTGTATTGTATTTTTAAATAAAACTAAAATATTAGCACTGCTTTCCAAGAATATCAATGCGATAACAGTGGTATCTTAATCTCATAACTTACATCCTCTATGGTAAAAAGGAATTTAGACGTTAAATTTAAAATGTCTACATTCATGTTTAAAGCACGTCGGCAGGGATTATACAATATTATTTTCTTAATTAGCCACTGTTGGCATGTTTCGCGTTTATGTTGTCCTGGAACTGCTAATCTCATTTTGAAAGAATACAAATGGAAACAAACTATATAAATAACTAATAATTTTAAAAATATTTTATAAAACAGATTAGAGAATGAGTCAGGTACATTATAAAACCAACTATGGGAACGACACGTTATCGACGACGTTTAAGTAAAGAAACGGTGGGCTTATGATCTTTAGGATAACTGCCAGCCAGGATAAAATGTGGCTGTGGTGTATCGAGATAGTATTGGAAACAGATGACCCCGGCATTTTCAAGATTCACTTTAAAAAACAACTATGTAACTACTTTACATTTAAATATACATTATAATTATCCGAATATCTATATAAATTAGGTTATTATAAGTCAGTCAAATACGTTCGTTTTCGTTAACAGCGAGTAAAGCAAAAGGTGGGAAATTATTGTATCATTGAACTTACTCAATACTCTCGTTGCGAGCCTAATCCATCACGTAGCACAAAACAATTGCAAGTGTTGATAGCCCCGCACTGGCACCATATAAATAATTATTCGATATCTACAAGGAAACCCTGTGTTTGTCGCTAGTACCCAATTAGTGACCGCAGCTGGCCACGGAATATTTGACCACATTTACCATGGAACTAGGGATGTCTAAACTCATCGATAGAAATACGGAGACATGTTGACATGAAATGTTTATTGTATATAGTCAGACTGTGAGTAATAAAGACCGTTACGGTGGTATTACACTCTACTTAAAAATAACAAGGGGAATACCTTAAAACTAAAGAGTATACACATATGTACATATAAATAATATGGGTAATAAATAAACATTATGGAACACACACAATTAGTTGTAGTCGCATTGTAAATTTTCAGTGTTTCAATTACCAACCTTACACTCGTAATTTATTAAATCTTAAAATGAAGAAGGCCCTACGGCCTATTGATACAACAAGACAGTTCTTTGAATCACTTTGAATCATACATAATTCTCCAAAAACTGCGTTAATATAAGAGTCATAGTATGTATGACGTCCTGATATTTTCCATTTTAGCAAGAACATAAATGAACCATATTTTATAAGCAGCATAATTCTTTCCATAAATTCCGTATTTAATGGAAAAAATATGTATCTATATGTATATGTCTTTATTTTATCCAGATATTACTATACAAATATGGTTGCCAAAAATAGAAATAAAATTAAAAGGGGTATGGTCTAAACAAAAAAAAATATTTTAAGTAACGTTATCGTCTTTCCTCGCATCCCTAGTACGTAAAATAACTTATCAAGAGGAAACACAGCCGGAAAGCTCTGATATCAAAAAAACATTTACACATTCATAAATAGATTGAACGAAGTCTTTTACACAAACAAGCGATCGCATGGAAATTAACAGATCATAATAATTGATGATATTTCAGCGAAAACTTTTCATAAAATGCGTAACCAATATCTTTCCAACCGAAGGATTTTCTATATTAGTAATACTAGTTACATTAGGTAAAGTTAGTCTTTTTTTTAAATTAATAGAACCTGTTAACAAATTATTGTTAATTGATGATTACGTATATATTAATAATACTCACATTTACCTACTTTTGGGAATATTACTATATTTTCCTCATGGTTATTTAAAATGCGATGTTTTAGGGGAAAACCACTTCATCACTGGCTTCCTTGCCTATGTTGCAATATTTTAGACCATAAAGGATCAATTTCAATTTGATTTATATTAACAGTTTGGTCCATAGTAGACCTGATGTTTAAAAAGGGGGTAAACGTTAAATATGGCTCTTGGCGGCATACGTGGGTAACACTGAAAATGTTTAGAACTGGTCAGTTAGAAACATGACTAATTAAAACCTTTTTTTTTCAATTTTAGAACTCTTTGGTAACCTAATGTAGTATATTGCATTCATTTGTCATTTATTTTAGTGAATTGGCGGCAAATCTAAAACTGTAACAAACACTTGAAAATGAACTTAACGCGATAAAATTTTGGGTCAATGATTTATTATGACTTTCGTTGTGGGCTTACTCAACAACAAAGCTATGATAGGCTGCGATCAGCATTTCTTAATGAAGACCCATCTCATTGCCACTATTTACAATTATTGGTTTAAAGAGTTAAGGCGTGGACGTAGCAATCTCAATATTAATCCGCGTGAGGGATGTCCTTTAACAGCGACTACTGAAGATAACATCAGTCCTATGCGGCGCATGATAGAGGAAGATAGGAGAGTAACCTGTCGGCAGATACGGGCAAGCCTAGGCATTGGTATTAGTCAAGTTCAAATAATATTACACGAACATTTAGGCGTCAGGAAGCTTTGTACCAGATTAATTCCCCATACTTTAACCGACGACCAGAAACACCTTCGCATGGACTGGTGTCGCCAAATGTTAGATAAGATCAACGGCGGTGACTCAATTGCTGTATTTGACATCGTCACAGGTGATGAAAGCTGGATTTATTGCTACGAACCCGAAACCAAAAGACAATCAGCTCAGTGGGTGTTTCTTTTCGAGGATCGGCCAACTAAGGTCAAGAAAGGAAGAAGTCAAGGAAAAAAGATGATTTCCTCATTCTTTGGCCGGAAAGGTCATTTCGCGACAGTTGTGATAGAAGATGGAAGGACAGTTACTGCAGACTGGTATGTCAATCGCTGTTTGCCTGTTGTCTTGGAAAAATTCGACAGCAGTGCCCTCGAAGCAGGATCCTCCTTCACCAGGACAATGCTTCAGTGCATTCCGCAAAACGGACTGTTGACTATTACTATGGCAGGTGTCGAGATAATGAGTCATCCGCCAAATACCTAGTCCTGACCGGTACTTTCATATATTCCCAAAAACTAAAAATAAAATTCGAGGTATTCGCTTTACGAGCCCTGAAGATGCGGTAAGGAAGAATGGGCCCACTGCTTTTCTCAGTGGTTCCATCGAATGCGACGGAGAGAACGGAGATTACTTCGAAAAACAATAAAAGTATTGGCTACTTTCTACATTAGGTAAGCCGTTTTTCATTTTCTAAACATTTTCAGTGTTACCTAGGTATTAGTTTTTAAGACCAAAACGCCAAAAACATCATAGTTCTTTCAAATACATTGCAATGCATTTGAAAGAACACTTTGCAATGCATTTTTGCATTTGCAGCGTATTTACGCTGTATTCGACAGTGCTATATGTAGATCATAAATAACTATTATAAATGTGAGGATCCAAGGAATATCTTATTGAGACAGGTGGTCTCAGTAAGATATGCAAAAACCCGGGACAAAGCTTATAATCTTCTTCCTCTAATCTTGTTTGAACTGTCATTGTTAGTTTTTTTAATGCATGATTTACCTTTAGGAATATATGAAATTGTTTTTAAGTATGTGGTACTTTTTTATGGCGCGTTTATGTATTTCAATTCTGTATTTATTTTTCTAATATTGTTTTTATTATGCATTCTGTTAGGAACTCCAGTTCAATTATATAAGCATATTAATAAATTGAAATTCAGTACGTACTGAATATTGCTTTTCGTTCTTTCAGAGTATGTCAAATCATACAGCATCGAATCAATAACATAGTAATTTTCATACTCACCATGTCAAGGCTTAAAACACGATCGATCTAGACTTTTGACAAGTCTTTTTACATCCGAAACACTTGTTAAGTCGGTTTGCTGTTTTTACTGAAATCGTAACAGCATTTTCACCTATACGTCTAAACTTTGTATGGTGTATGGTTTGTTTACAACTGAAAGCAGCTGTCACTAAATTTCAGTGCTAGGTCAAGGTTGATTGCGCAAGTGTTGAAGTGCAGTAGGTCAATGTTGCTAGCACTAGAAACGCCTTATTAAATTATTATAGCAATTTCTCAGAGCGGCGTTTCATTAATTTTCAAGAATATTAATGCACGTTCACGCTAACCCTCGTAGCTGTCCCGTCGAGATTGTAATTTTTAAATTATTATTATTTTGTTGTTTTTCAACCACAAATAACGCAGGCTTTAAAACTTTTTTTCAGGGTAGTATTTCTTAACAAGCACATATCTAAAATCGTTTAGTGATTTTTTTAGGTAAATTGTTTTTCTTCGTATGAAGAACTTGCGAATAAAATATGTAAGGATTTATTTGATCTAGTTTTTAAAATGAATTGATAGGATTATGAAATAATACAGTTTCTCTTTTAATGTTTTATTTGTTATGACGTAATAAATACTTTATAAACGTAATTCTATAAAATATAACTAAAGTAACATACTCATAAAATACATATAAACGATAGACAAAAAAGGTCTTTATACATGAGCGCACGGCCTATTAAATTTTTAGGCCTAATCAACCACCAAAAAGAAAAATACTTAAAGCTTACCAAGGTTAAATTACCCTGCTGTTCGCCGAATTCGGTCCCTCTTTTTGTTGCCATTTTTATTTAATCAAAAAAACCTTTCCACACAAAGCTTTAGCATAGGAAAAATGGCATGATTATGGCGTTAACGACCATAGATAATCATTGCTCCCGTCATCTGTCGGATTTTCCTGCGTTGTGCAAATGGTTAGGCGCGTCGGCAAAGGCAAATTTTAACCTGTATGCTTCAGCTACGAGCATGCTTATATTTGAATCAGTCCAATTTTGTGTGGGAACATTTTGCAGTAAAATCATAAGCCCTTGAAAATCGCGTTCTTGCATCAGTCTTTCTCTCCAATGCAGTAGAAATGCTGCGCAGACATAAAGCTGGAAAATAGCGAAGCCATCGGACTCCGCAAGATAGGTGTCCCAAAGTCGAATAGTGCAGGGAAGAGGGATCTCTCTTGTAAGAAGGTTGTTCATCCACCGGAATGAAAATTGGAGATAATCTACACCATGGGTTTGTAAGTGCTCATGAAGTGGTAAATCTATACGTCTTATTAATTCCTTTAATTGATTAACCTGAAATTGTGAGTTATTGTTACTATGTTCTTCATATAGTGTTAAAAACATAAAAAATTATTAATTATAATGACAATGTAAAAATAAGTGAACCAGAACTTTTAGACACAGAAGACCTTAGGGCACTCCTTATTGATAAGTTACACACAAGGAAGGGAAAAATATCAAAATTATACTTTAATTGCTACAACATTATTTGAGTTATTCCAAAAGTAGAATTTTTAAACTGATGATATAAATTAAAATAATCAGTCATATAGATAACAATTGTAAAAATATTATACCTTATCAAATCAGAAGTGCTTGCCACATAATCTTAATTATTAAGTAAGTTAAACTTTACAATTATTTATGATAACTCAACTGATTTATTACACTTGAGACACAATCAGTACCAGTGATGCATATAAAAAGTTCTTAATAAAAAAACATTTGAAATTTTTGACAAGATGTGACAAGCTATGTTGGTGTACTAATAATTAAAAATTCTGAAAAATGCAAAACAGACTTGAATAGATTTGAATCTATTGAACGCACTTATACTTAATACAGATCAGAGATGTTCACAAACATTAAAGATAAATAATCCCAGGGTCCTAACTATAATTTAGCATTAGACCTAACTTAAGTTATCTTTAATTTTTTCCTGAAGTTGCAATTAAAAAATTAATTAATCCTTACATGCTATGTGTATAAATATTTCTAGTTCTAGTTGATTAATTTAGTTACAGGGTAAAGGGTTTATGCTTACCTTATACTGAATACCAAGCTGTGCAAAAATATAATTATCTTGTACACTATCAAGGAATTTAGACAGGCACCAAAAAGAGTCAGCTTCAATTATGTCTCTTTGCACCTCACTCAATGAATCTAAAGGAAGGTTATCCAACTCTTTATTAGGAGCTGCTTCTTGAAGAAAAACCATGAAGAATGGTGTCACCAGATCATTAATTCCTTGGACATAACCAGATGCAGGGTGTCTGATTGCCCAAATATAGAGGATGCGTTCAAACATTACCTGAAAAATTATAAAAGTATTTGTTATAAAACTTTATGGTGTGTATTGAGAGTGCTTTTTAGTACAAGTAAGATATTAGCTGTAAAGCATAAATAGTTATAAAAAATGTCATCAGGATCTTACCTGTACAGTGCTCTGTTGGAACAAAGCTACCAATGGGCTCATCCTAGGAATATCAATATGTATTTGTCTATATGTCTCCTCTTCCCTCTCGGCATCATAATACTGCCTTACTAGATGTTTGTAATCTGCTCTCTTACTATCCAATGTCTCTGCTCTACGTTCAGTGTTTGCAGGAAGATAACCCGCTAAAAGCCTCCAAGTTACAGCCCTGGCCTAAAAAGTATAGTATTTACACTTAAATGTTGCAGTTGCAGTTGCTTAAAGAAGTTTAATAATCTTTCTTATCACCTATAGTGATATGAGTTTTTATAGACAACTATGTGGAGTCTTTGTTTTTCTTTTGAATTAATTGAAGGTGTAAACTAAATAGGCAGTTTTTTTATTATTCAGTGATGAAAAATCCAATGTTTTACTCAAAAGTAAAAGTACTCAAATCTATCAAATCTTATTGGAGTTTTAGCATAAAGCAGCATAATAAATATATAAGTTCAACCTTGTATTGGTATGTTAATGTTGCATATTCATTTCACCTTCAATTAACCTTTAACTTAACTTTTGTTACCATTTTTAAATGTATTAAGTAGAATATATACAATTGTAACTAAGCCAAAAGTATATTTGCAAGACAAAAACAATCTCTAATATAGTTTACTAACAAAACAAATTTGGTGTGTGCTTTCTGAGTATTTATTAAGCAAAGTAGAATAAAATGACTCACTATTCTGTATTAAAGAAACCATACCTGCCACATATAACTGACCTCATTAAAGTTAATTAACTTACCTTAACTGGTATTCCTGACCAGCTGAGATGTTTTAACTCATTCAGATCAAGAACAGAGCTTTCCAGTACTTGTTGGAATCTTTCTAATTTAGATTCGCTACTTTCTTCACGGGAAATTAAAGCTGATGGTCGGACAGCCCGCGGGCGGCCTGGATAATGCCGAATCGGTCCTGATGCGCTAGAACTGCCTCCAATCTTTTTAACTTCATTCTTTTTTACTGCAACCGCCTCTTCTTGCGGCTTCACAGTTTCTGTTTCGATCTTGACGTCACTTCTGTTTACGTTCTTAGTACTATTACGATGTGAATTTATTACATTTAAAGCTACAGACTGTGATATGGCTTTCGATATTTTAGTCTCCGCAATTCCGGAGATGATCTCGTCATCCCCCAAATCCCAGGCATCGTTCACAGACGCCTGAAATTGTTGATAAGATGACCCAGACATAACCTCGTTTTGAGCGATTCTTTGCAAAGGCCTGCCTGGAACCGCTCTTTGTGGAGTCCTCCAAAAAGTCTCAGACAATAAACCGTCCTTGTCATATTCGGTTTGATAACTTTCCATAATAAATTGTACCAAGAGTCATTATAAATAACTTTTTAAGACAACAAAATACACGAAAACTTTGGGGAGTCTATACTCTATAGGCATTAGTTGTAAATTGTGACTTGTCACTTGACTAAGACTTGACTGACATTTGAAAATTAATACTTAACAGGTAATTATTTTGAGAGTTGACAAATGGATATATCTACAATGAATTGCAGATGAAAACAATGTGCTACAACCGGCGAGTAGTGAGTACTTCTATAACCTGTACTCAGTTACAGCTTAATAATTACTTCATGGAAAATACAATAAATAAAAACTATACAATTGAAAGAAAAGCAGCCAACCCATTTTCATTTACTTGTCAATCAAAAAAGTTTTTGGTCAGATTCTATAAATATTAATAAACGCCTGCTGGGTATTTTAATTTAGATTATTATATTAGTTTGCTTTATAAATTTTGCATAATGAGAACTAACAATTTAATACAAAACATTGACGTTATTAACGCGCAACCGTTTTGTTTGTAATAAAATTATTAATTCCTACGTGTTTCCAAGAGCAATATTTGATCAATACGATACCTGTTACATGATTTTGCGAAGTTGAGAAAATATAAATTTATAAGAATTAATATGGCAAGTCCAAATCCAGATATCGATGCCTCATCAATGTTTATGGATAAAGGTGATGGTAGAAAGTCAAAAAGTCCTATTCGATCAGGCTCACCAAGAAACCGTGTCAAAAAAAAGGAACGCGTTGAGCCTGCAGCCGAAGTAATAACAGTTAAAGACTTCTTTGACTTTATGAAGACAGCGTATCAAGTGTACGAACATCTAGAAGGCTCAGACGATGATGGATCAAAAATTAACTGGGAGGAGTTAACCAAATTGACTGTTCTAAACCATGTTATTGAACAGCAGGAGCGTGATCTTTTGCAACTCACTGTTAATACCGTTCAAAAGCCAATTATTAGTAAAAGTGAAACGGTGATTGAACCAAAGTTCAGCATTACCGAAAGAGTGGAAAAGAGATACAGTTGCAGCGAAATAGAAGGTATGGGTACTACCCATTAATAACGTCCTCCTTTTTCGAATTAATTCTCCAATGTTATTATTATTAAGTGTTGACCTTGTGGCTACTTGCGACTCTCAACCCTAAGGTCGTGCCTTCGAATCACGGCAATGCACTGATGGATATATCTTTCTATGTGCGCAATTTGACACTGAGAAAACCGGCATGCTTTAGACCCAAAAATCGATGGCATGTGCTAGGCTCAGAAGGCTGATCACATTCTTGCATCTTATGAAAAAAAAAAAAAACTTTTTTTACAAAAAAACTGAGTCCAAGTCCAATGCCAAGGGTTGTAGAGCCACTAATTTTGTATGTACTAATTTCACAAATTATAATGAGGTACTAGTAAATACATACTTTTAGTTGTACACTATGAGAAACTTATGTTTCATATCTAGGTAATCGCAGCCGTAATCTGACTCCAGAAATAAAAGTAGAAATGTTAGGAGTTTGGACGGAGGCCAATTTAAATTGCAAATTAAATGATGTAAGTATTAATAAGTACCTATTAAAAGAAAATAGTTCACTTAAATATTCGTCACAAAATATAGACGTCGTTGTTTTAAATTTTTAGGTGATTAATGAAGGAATATTGGATTCTATCCTGCCATATTTGGTGGGGTATAAAAAGCCAGCGAAGACAACGAGTGTGTACGCTCCAATAATGAAGAAAACTGTTTCGAGTACATCCGCCGATATTAAAAAACCTGCTAGTTTTGAGGGTAATAATATAATTTTTAATTATTTAACTACAAAACAATTTAAGTGCTCACATAGCGCAGTAGGTTCTTGGAAAGTGTTAATAAACCAAACATTCAGCATTCCAAATTTATTTTATTCTTCTCATTCCGAAAGAAATATCTGTTATGTATGTTCCTAATTATTCTAATAATTAACCTTAAATACGATCGATAAAAAAAATTCAATCATATTCTGTGGCAGCAGTGCCTGCTCAACAAGTTCCGAGCTCCGTGATGCTAGAGTATATAAATGTGTATGAAAGTGTTGGGTTTTGGCGCTATTCAAATTTATTTTAATTTTGTTTAATAATTTCCGATAAATGTGAAAAATATAAACCTATGTGGAAAGGTGAATGTCCAAAAATTATTTATACTATATAGTAAAGTTTTTAAGGTTTCATAAACGAAAAGGATTCTCGTGATCGTTTGGGGCGAAGGAAATCATCTGTGATTGCAGCTCAAGAAAAATCAAATCAAAAGCAAGAGTGAGTTTAAATTTTTTACGGTCCATAATATGTCTAAAATACAAAAACTAAGAAAAAAACAAAAAATCATCTAATTTGAGAATGTAGCATTCTCAAATCCAATTGAACACACACAAAATAGTTCCAGCTGTTTAGAATGATTTCAATTACAATACACGCACAGAAGATTTATATGTACAATTATTATATCTAAATATAATATGTATGTAAATTAAATTAATGATGTTCTGGAAACATTAGTATTTTCATCATTTGATTGCCTGTTTTCATGCCTGAGGTATTATTTATGTCCAAAAAATATTTAAGTAAATTAAAAATAAATTTGGATATATTCCAAAATGTCAGGTGATATAAATTCTTGATAAACATCACGTCGTTATCAAATACAATAACACTTATTAAAAAATCACTTTAATATTTGAGGACAGTATGTTGATGCATGTCATTAATACTACTTTAAAAGGTTATTACTTAAATTTAATTATTTTAAAGGTTGTTACGTAAACTACAAGATATCCTCCAAAAATGATTATAAATGCAATGTTAAACTTAAATTGCGTATATAGCGTATTTTGAACAAAACACACACATCCGATATGGTCTAGTGGCTAGGATACCTGGCTCTCACCCAGGAGGCTCGGGTTCGATTCCCGGTATCGGAAAATCTTTTTATTTTTTTCAGTGGTGATGTTGAAATTCACGTTTGCGACGAGGTGAAAGGATTGAAAAAAGACTTTAGATGCCCTCAAAAGCTGTTGGTTACGAAGATGGGATATTTTGCTGATGTCACCGCAGGTCAGAGGTTGGAAGATATGGATATATCTGTGCATTGTGACATACAGGTTATATATACTGATATTGTCGCGTTTTTAATAAAAATAATATTTTTATTTTATTACGTAGACGTCACATATTTAAATAAATCAATAGGGCAGCGGGAGACTAGTTGTACCTAACATCTTTTTGTTTCTTCGCTTTGGAAGAACGTTAAATTTTATTTCTATGTACCTACGGTTCAAATGACCTATCCATTTCAAATAAAAATTTGAGATTGAATTATTTGTGTGTACTATACTATATATATTAAATAAAATAAATACCTATAATATATTTTTTATTAAATTCTAATGATTCTTGTGAAAACGTGTTGTGATTCAAAGTTTTCCTACAGATATTCGACTGGCTGATGCGTTGGGTGAAGCGTGACACTATTTTAGTTGCTGACTGGCCTCTATTAGATCCGCACAATGTAGTCCCTATATTGGTATCAGCTTCTTTCTTACAGGTATTTTTTTTCAATACAGGTTTTGCAAGGCATTAATCAGTTTCAATTTACTAGCCTGTCAAATGATCAAATAAAATTCTGCAGCGTATACTTACATACATTAAAACAGTATTTGGGTTTAATATACGAATTATTTGTTTATATTAATGAAAAACTATATAATATTACAAATTTTACTCATTTCCTTAACGGAATTAAAATACGTTTATTAACGTGAACTCAATCTATGACTAGAGCGCGAAATGTCGGCACGCTTATGAATTTAATTCGCTGTATTTAAATTGTTTGTTTATTGATTCATATAATACTTTTCATTAAGTGGGGATCGGTGGTCTCTGGTTCTACCCCTTTGGGGAAAAGGCGTGATAGTATCAGTAAATATATTTTTATTTATTTTTAGATGGAGCCACTGTTGCACGACTGCCTCATCTACTGTCACGCACACATGAATGACATTGTGAAGACCACTACCAACCTCGCTTGTCTCAGCGATGCTTTACTTACAAGGTACGATTATAATTTGAAATTTGAGGACGACTTTTCTTGTATCAACAACATTCAAATTTCCAACAAATAAATAAATTCATTTTATTAACATTAAATACTTTTTCATCTATAATGAATAATGTCAAAAAATAAAAAATTCTTTCAAATGTCACTGGAGTCTATGGAAAGAGAACCGGTGAACTAACATCTTTTCATAGAGTTTTCATAAAATTACTTAAGATTTTGTTATATTATTTTGGATTTACTATCAAAATGACTCTGTCAGTAACAATATCTCGGTGTCGTACGTACAGAGGCGTAACAATAGGGTGGCATGGCTGGCAAAATGCCACGGGCCCCCGACCCAAGAGATGTTCTATGGATGAATGTGAAGTCTCTAATACGCATTGGGCTAGCGTGGGGACTACAGACCATTCCCTCTCGCCTAAGAGAGGAGGCCTATGGCCATTAGTGGGACATGTACAACGTGTAATTGAGTACGCTGAAAATCTCGAAGTTTATTAAAATTAAACTGAGTACAACGTGGCGATTTTTACTGATAGGGCCCCATCAAAAGAATTTGCCACGGGCCCCAGATGGTATAGTTACGCCACTGCGTACGTATATATATTAAACTTTAAATGGTCAAATAGAATGTGATTTTAAAAAGAACATTAACAACACTATTTCGTATTTTCTTTCTTCTCTTGTTTATTGCATATTAAAAACTATTGCGGGAAATACCGTATCTATATAATATAAATATTATAAGCCGTATCTGTACATCCGAAGAACTTGTGTTATAGGGTACAACTAATCTATGGAGTAACTTTGGTACATTTACATAATTATTATATAATTAATAAATATAATAATAAAAATATCTTGTTTACAGATTAGCAGCAATGTACACAAATGTTGAATTGGAGGGTATCAAAGACCGTAAAGACAAGATTCAGTCCCGTTTGTACTGCAAAATGATTTTGTCGTTAGCGGAACCGGTACCCGAGACCCTAAGGGGGCACTACGCGTCACTGGCCACGCTCTTTAAGTGTAGCAAGTGGGTTGAGTTTTATTTATTAATCTTATATATTATGTATTAATTATATATTATAAATTCAAGTCCGCCGGCCGAAAATTGATGCGTTACAGTAGTAGTTAGAGGTCGTAATAAAAAAAAAGGGTGCGTGTACTTATGTACGCGCGTAAGAAGTTATACTTCTTTGGCATTATTAAAAATGGTTTTTGATTGCATGCAAATAATTAATTACAATTAAATAATCAAAGACTGGAAAAGGAGTCATTATAGTCAATAAAGTTCAGTTTACATTTGAAAAATTAAATAAATAAATATTTATTATTATTCTCTTACATTAAGTGTAACATAAATTCTATTATTATTTGAATGTTGTTTTTAAATTATGTCCAATGCCGTAGAATCTTCCGAGGGCAACTTCATTGTGTTAATTTTGTGTCACGGTGCGCGCGCATCGTAAAATTTCACTCTCATCAATTTATCATAACGCGCCTAAAGAAGTATAAATTCAAAAACTAATTCCACACGTAAAGTAAAAGTAGGGTTAGATATTTAATTACTCACAGCCGTATACGTACTCATAGTCATCCATTAAATTATTATTTGTAAGTTAACGTTTTTTACATAACTATATTAAACTAGAACTACCTACCTTTACTTTGAATAACCTATCCGCCTACCTATACACAATGATTTAAAAATATAATTACTTATAAGAAGTTCATAGACATTCATAAACATAATATTTTTCTAAAATTAAATACTTTTTGTAATAACAAACATATCTATAATAACATTAGGGGCCCCATAGCCTAGCGGTCTTATTAAGTGGCAGCTAGGTGAGGGGTACCGGGTTCGATTCCCGGTTCGAGGGCAAGTTTTAATTTAATTTAAATTTGTTCTCGGCCTTTGGGAGGGTTGTGCGGTACCGGGCGAGTGCTTAAACCATACATGGAGGACACGGTCGGATTTCTAAAAGACAAACACGAATTATAAAAAATCCTATACTTGACGCTGCTGTGCTGAATGCACAAATCGTGCCAGAGCCATTAAAAACATAAAAAATAAATAACATTGCTGTCATGTCAATCACAGATTTGCCTCTTTGCTGATTTGGTTTAAGGTGTATTTTCTAATGCACATAATTTAAAATACGCGTGTTTGGTAACCCTCCAGGTGTAATAAACTTCTGGGTAGACACATAGCGGAACAAGTACCATGTCAGCCTGCAGCTATGCGCATAGACCGTCGAGGGAATGTACTGTCTTCACATAATAAGTATGTTTATTTAATCTTCATGTAGGAATATTAATCACCACAGAATATAAATCTTATATGGTGAATTTGACAGAAGTATGTAAACAAGTTTATATGTTACCAAAGACCAAGTTAAATTAAATTACTTTGTGTTTGGTGGTACGTAGCGCAGTCACAATTTTTAAATATTTTTTTTAAAATTAACAAGTAGCGCTACAACATTTTTAGGTCTAGGTTTTAGATTTATGTATCTGTTTCATGACAATTTGTCAATCTAAATGGCTGAAGTAGATGATCAGCCTGTAACACGTCGTCAACTTTTTGGGTCTAAGGCAAGCCGGTTTCCTTCACCGTTCGAGCGATTTTTTTTAATGAATTATTATTATTAATTGGGAACATAGAAAGAAAGTCAATTGGTGCACAACCGGGAATCGAACCTCAAGATGACAGTCGCGCGCTGAAGTCACTAGACCAACACTGTTCAATTTCTATGTCCGTTTCTCAGTGAAATTATTAGTTATTCATTTACTTGTGTAAGTGTGGTTTACTATGTACTTACAACTATAAAGTGCTTATTCCTACTGTGAAAGTCATGGCTATTGGCTACCCTACGGAATCTGATCGCATCGAACGAATCGCCACTTTGCCTTAACTATTTAAATTTTACGCAGATGCAAATTCAATGAAGCATTTTTTAATCCTGTGACTTCTGCATTTTTTCATATATCATCAGAGACCCGTCGTGGAGTATAAACGACTATATAACATGGTTGTATGGTGAATTACGGTCATGGCGACGCGTTTACTGGCGTTTGTGGGCTGACTGTCACTTTTTGAGGTGTCAGCTGTGTGACAGCTATTTCCCAGCTTATCAGGTATTTCAAAATTACTTAGCGTAATGTATTGTTTACTAACACGAACAACACACTATAAACAATACAAATATACAATAAACTAAAACACTTTTTTTAAATTTCAATCTTCAAATTATTTTTAACGCTTGTAATAATCTCATTGAATTTAATACACATTGTATTTGCTTTTTCAATCTTGAGATTGAATCCCCCATCGCATAAATTATTATTTATTTTTGAATTCTTTAATACATAAATAGAAATGAAATATGTTGCTAAAACTCAAAGATGGCTAGGCCAATTCGAGATTTTGGAGAGAAAATTTGGAGAAAATAAAATAAAAATAGTTTTATTTATTACTTTGGTTTTTATTCCGGTAAAGTGAAGAGTATGGAATGGCATAGCAAAATGTTACGTATGTTAGTAGGTATGTATGTATTAAAAAGGTAGGCTAAGCAAAAAACATATAAAAGGCGAAACAAAATTTCGGGACCTAACTAGTTGATAATAATAATTATATTATTGTTTCAATCTTAAATATAAACAAATTTCGGATCATATCTATAAACATCTCGGCTTTCTTATCTAAGGACATAAGCCCGGTATTTGTGTGACAGCTTTCTTAAAAAGTGTCTTTAAAATTTATTCTTATAAATATTTGCTTTTAATATCCTATTATTCACCATCGTGAGGCATCAGTCGTCACCCAAAGAGAGAGTGCACAACATGTCAATTGATGAAAAAGGAACCTTTCTTTCCACTGGGTTGCATGACCGCTTAACATCCAGGGTCTAAGTCTCGTAAAAATATCAGATTTGCAATTACATATCAATAGCGATCTTTTTATCATACTTGTTTTGTACTAGATGGAATGGTGTTCTCACCACGAGCAAAACCCGCACATGTTCGGAGTGGAGGGCCGTGCCGCACTGCCCGCGGGGCGATACCCTTGCTGCGGAGAGAGGGCCTATCGTTTTGAGACCGTTACACGGAATACGGTAAATCCTTCTTTAGAATATACAGTCTTATACATCTATTATATGCCTGAATTAGTAAAATAACGGTCATCTTTTACGAATTGGCTTAAAACTTTCATTCCCTAGGAAACCAAAGAATGAATAAACCAAACCACGTCGGTAATGATTTCACTCAAATATGCTCTTCAAATTTATCTCTTCATAGATATTGCGTAAAATTTTAAATTAAGTAGGTATTATATAAAATATTATTTCGCTTTAAACAGGGCTGTCAATTTCGCGAGCACGTTCCAGATGAACGTTTGGCAACAGACGCGTCTGTGATGGAGATATACAACCGATTCCGTGATATTATCGCTATGAGACCGCCACAACTCATGTTCCCAGAACGGCTAACACGACTTGTTGCTAGAGGTAACGGGGTCCTGACATATTTCTAGACTAGCAATTTTCCATAAGATTCTCAAGCCATACATTATATCGTTCGTAATATTAAAATTAACTCGTATGTATCCTTAAATCACGTACTGTATTCTTCATTTTGTCGGGTCTGATTCGAAATGCCTGATAAAAATACTTTTTTAACCAGCCATAACGTAAATTCGTACATTTTACGCCTTTAATATGGAATATTAAAGCCGGTATTATAGAATGTCAATCAAAATTAAATCTAGTTTAATGAGCTGTCAGCTGTCAAGCCAAAACGAAATCGAGAGGCATTTAATTTCTATTAATTAAGTAAAGGCGGTAATTGGAATTTCGGGGTAAACCTAAAAATATTTGAATTTTTAGAACCTGGCGAGGAGCCGGATGGCCGTCTTCAATGCAAAGAAGTGTTTTGGTGGGAAGGCATCCAGCTGGTGCCACCACGTCAGCCACTTGGATTGTTGGGGAAACTATACACCAGCAATAGCAAATTTAACCGTGAGGATTTTGTTGCTACCTGTCTAAAAGCCGTATCCGTCGAGGATTACATAGAAATAATTTGGCCAGTTCTTGATAGGTTTATAGTGCATAATTTTGTTTTAAAATGTGGTTGAAAATCTACCAGGATCGCAAAATCTGCCTTCTTCGAGGTAATTGCTAATTAATATTGCACTAGAAATGTAGTTGAATCCAAATCTCATTGCTGTAAATACGCTCTCCACATTGGCATGTAGGTACATAATAAGTAAGTTCAACAAGTAACAAAACAAATCATGCTTTATCATTTATAATATTAAAATCTCACTATGATATACATATATTATATGTATTTATTTTTACAAAATTTAATACATTGGAGAGATTTTAGTAAAGACTAATTTGAAAAAAAAAACCGCTAAATCATAGTGTTCTAAATGCGCCAGAAAGTTAGTCAGTGCAAGTTTCCATAGCACAAATCATAGTAAAACAAGCTTGAATCAGACAAAGTTATTAAGGGTGTAAATACACACAGAGAATACTCGGCCTGGATCGCCGGTTATCAGTTCGCTGCAGGCTTCAATGCCGTCTTTGGCTGGCAATTGCTCCACGGCCGCAGCTTCGCCTGAGCGCATCGATAATAAAGTTAAACGTAATGTGAGCCCTAAGGGTAAGGTAAGTCAGGATGTAGGTTAGGTAAGTAATGCATTTACTGGTAAGTACCGTAGAGAATAGAAGATAACCAACCAAGGAACCAACCATAGGCGAATTTATGTCGCGCCATAGTTTAATGCTGTTTTGTATAGAACTAGGATATTGAATAATAATTCGTCTGTTTGTCTACTTTTGAGTGGTTTTATTATAGCTGCACTTCATCTTATACGTAGATACACCACATAGCCTTGTTTTATAGGTGTGTCAAAATTTTTTTAGGTAAGTATAGGATATTAGGAGCTCTTGAATTATTTTATAGTTGATAACAAAAACGCCACTAAGACCATCTAATATCTATGTTTGATTAATCGATTTTTTCTTTCTTTTTATTGTATGTTTTATTTTGTCTTTGTTGTAGTCTTCTTTAAAAAAACATTTTGTTTCTTGTAGGCTAACAACTATTATTTTGTATATTAAATTCCTTCCTTTATTAATTTTTAACATGCACTAATTGTGAAACGTCATTTAGAAATTCTTAAACCGTTAACCATCCAGTGAGATTTTTTTTTTGCAGTAACTATGACTCACTATCGCTAATCGAATATGTTTGGCCAAGCATATGATAAAGTAGCAAAGGGCTAACAAATTGTAATATAATAGATTAGCTTAAACCATTATTGTTGCTAATAAAGATATATTGATAAAGCAAGGCACTGGCACTGGAGATGTTGAAGTAGCCGAAGAAGCCACAGACTCTGACGAGAGTGAACAGAGTTCTGACAGTGCAAGAAGTGACGAAGACACGCCGCCGCGGCGTCCGCGCAATAGGACCAGAGTGCCGGCGCAACCTAATAGAAATAAGTAAGAATATGTAGAGTATTACTATACCTACTAGAATTTGATATATGTAGTTCATAGAAACTTTAATCAAATTTAAAAGCTTTTTAATCCGTAAAAGGCCTCAGAATTTCAGATAATAATAGGATTATACAAAGCGTCAACACAGTTTTTGTTTCAAAGATACGAAAACAAAATAAAAAACACTTTCAATTCGCGAAATTAAATTGCTTATTGCGTTTGAATTTTCATTGAAACATATACATTTGCAACATTTAAAGTTAAAGCTATGGCTTAGATCACGTCGATGGACCGCAACTACTGCTGGTCGTGTATGGGCGGCGACTGTCTCGGCTAGAAGTAATCAAGACGGACAACGAAGATTTGAGGAACGAGCTGCTGCTCACATGAAAGTCACGCTCGCACGGAGACACCACTATCCCACTAAGCCTAAACAACATCCAGGTAAAATATAGTACAGAAAGTCGGACATAATTGTATCGGTAGTTTATAAACACAAGTCTATCATTTCTTTATTCTCCATATCTTTTTAACAATCTTAATTACTTACATGACCATGTTCTGTCTGGAAGTTCTAGGCTACTTTAGGATCTATGAAATCTTTTTCTAAAAATGATAATAATAATATCGTAGAAATTGTCTCACTTTATATGAATTTGTTCAAATTATTTTTTGTCGTTTAAAGGTGGTGTCTACGCCAAATTGGAAGCAGATTGGCGCGAGAAGCACGGCCAACAAAAAGTACGCAATTTGACCTCTGCAAGAATTCGCTCACAGCCGTCTAAATATAAATAAACGTGGTTCACTTTTTATTTGTTTAAATATCGCTCCCAAAGGGTACGTTGACTAGTCGTTAGATGAGCAGTCACTATGCCAGTTCTAGCATAAAGAATAGTAAATTATTAATAACAATAACATTAAAATTATGCTCTTAAATATTTTTACTTATTTTTAATATGTTTTAACTTTAATTTTTTTTATGGGTGGATGGGATTTTTTTTTATAGATTGATCCCATTTTTTAGTTCATCCCATTAATAATACTATTTTTAGGATTAAAATTAATTAGTATAATTCAATCCCATCCAAAATCGGTAGCGTGTTTAAATCTGTAAAAGAAACAAAGAATTACTCGATCGTGTGACGTGTCAGGTTATATCATATCCGTCCCACGTCTTTTTGATAGAAGACTATTTTTAATATACCGGTTTACATAGTGGTGGTAACCCAGGGTGGGTCGAAGGGGTACAATATAGGAAAAAAAATAATTTAATCGGCATGTTAAGTGAATCCTCTAGCAGCTTGTGCTTGCTTACTAACGATTTGGAAGCGACCAACCAAGTCAAGGCCGAATTTTGAAATGAATTCAAGTGACCTTGAAATACTCGAGCGCGTCAAATTATTATAGACATTTCTTCTTGACGTCCTTGTAAGTGCTGACGCACTGTGGAGGAATATGCTTAATCTGACGGTTGGAGAAATGTTTGTATTAATACATATTATATTGACTGAAATAAATACAATATATTTATTCTTAAATTATATCCTGTATTTAGTAGAAAAAGTTGTAATGTCTTTTTCAATGATTATTCTGATTCTGATTGAGGAGTGGGCATGCACCACACTTTGGTTATGATTGTAGCTACTTGCGACTTGTGCAACTCAACAGATTATGACACCAGAAACAAAAATTTCTAATAGTATAAGATCCCGCTATACAACGACCTTCACCGAGATGCTTATTTAATGAAACTTATTTTATATATAATTTAATATGTCAATAAATATAATCCATATGGGTTGCCTAGCAAATTTCAGTCCAGAGTATGTTTAATTAATTTAAAAAAAAAAATATTTTTTTAAACATTTCACCGGTATGATTATTAGATAAATTCTATACCAATCGAACATATAAAGCCCATAGAATATGCAAACGTTAGGTTGTTTTTAATCAATTAATTATTTATGTGTATATTTTTTATGTGACACTAAAGTATATATACATCTTTAGTATAAAAGAAGGTTATAGTGATACATATATAATACTACCCTGATTAAAAATATTGATTGAAAAAAGTTCAAAAATTTACTACATGCAAATTATAAAAAAAAAAAATTTTTTTAATATTAATTAAACATACTCTGGACTGATATTTGCTAGGCAACCCATATGGATTATATTTATTGACATATTAAATTATATATAAGTTTCATTAAATAAGCATCTCGGTGAAGGTTATATAGCGGGATCTTAGACCATAATAATGTAAACTAAAACAGAATAAAATGAATTTTTGAAATCGTGAGTATTCTGCTTAGCTATATATAATAATAAAATAAGTGAGCAGGATGGAGTCACGAAAAGTATGAATTAAAAGGCAATATAGTGATAGTCTTTTATTCCTAACATTTAGAACCTGAGCCGGTGCGCAAATTGGCTGGAGCGCAGACCAAAGGCGGCCTTAAGGTAACCCCGGAGCACCTTCTTGTCTGTGCGTTTGCCGATCGCTTTGATCACCGCATCATCTACCGTTTTCTGGTCGGTCTTACGTTGTTCTGATGGGACATATTTCTGAAATAGGGTAATGAGTAATTAGGATATCTCTGAATAAGTTCTTGTAATTTTTTTATGGAGTAAATACTAACGATAATAAACTGTTTCTATATTTAATAAGTGTTCTATTGAGGTTCTAAAAATTGTACTAAATTAAATAGTGATTTGACTGTGGCATACCTCTTTTTTGGTGGCAAAAATATCTTCGCCCTCCTTCCGCTTAACGCTGCGCTTGGTGCTCTTCTTGTTCTTCTTGAAGTAGGCATCATCAAGGTGAGCGGGAAGCTTGAAGTCACCCAACTCCACATTGGTGCTGGTACCAATTACATACCGTTGGGGAACACGACGGAGTGGACATGAGTTGAACTAGAAAGACAAGAAATTGGTTTATATTCTTTCATAACTCTAGTCAAATCATGCCTAGAAGAAGTAAGAACCAATACTCAGCAAAAAAATTTATGTAAAAAGGACATTTTGCATAAAGGTAATGAATGAGGTAATGAAAATGAATTTTTATATCTGAAAGTTAAAAAAAAATCTAGTAGTGTATGAAATTTCTGTAACTGATTAGTGTGTCCTAAGAATGTCATTATAAACTATTTAAGTATTATTAAAATTTGTTTGCAGAATTGTGAATATCTTTACGCAATTACTTTTATACATGTATCTTTATACTATTTTGTAATATATAAGTATTTAATTTGGTTTTTAAGATTAATTATCTACATTAATCCAATCCAATTCTAAATATTTATGAATACATACTGCAAATGGTCCAGTAACAAGTAAGAGACCACTGGGTAACACTCCAACAAGCACCACTCGCTTGCCTGCGTGTCTACCTGCCAGCAAGATGCAGACAGTTCCGACAGTAAGGTTGGGGCGGATGTTTCTGACGTGCTTGCTAAAGCACTTGTGGTGGCGGTATGTTCTGATTCTAGAGGAAAAATTTACAGTTATATTTTCTTTAAAATTAAATAAACTACTGCAATTAGGTTACATCCAATAAGATAAGAGTTCTAAAACTAAGATAGGTAATATACATACAGCCAAAATCTGTTGCAAAGACATCGATGGGACTATGCATATTTGGTCATAAAACCAGATAGTCATAACAGTCAATAACATTGTTATTAAGTACATACAATAGAATTCAGCCGGGACTTTTAATTTTGGTCAATATAACCAGTATGTTATTCTAATCGATGTTGTCATAAATTGTTTTGACGTATTTATTAAATGATACATACTTGTCTTGTGTGGGGTAGAAGGATTTTCTGCGACGCAGCAAGACATTACGAGTGCCTCCATTCTTCTCACCACCAATGGGCTTTACCACCACTGTAGGCTTCTTATGCTTGGGTGCCTTGGGGTTTTTCTTGCCAATGAACTTATATTTGGCCTAAAAATAAAATTGTTACTATAGAATATTACCCATTGCACTTTCTACAATTTTAGATGTTCTCTTAGAAAATTATATGTTTATAGTTTATGGAAAAATAAGCACTACGTTAAAATAATGCTTTACCACATTGTAGAAGGGTACTTACAGTTTTGTGGAACATTTTAGATTTCGAGAATCTGACGATTCCATTTCCTAAGTCATAATTCCTCGGTTTGCCAACTTTGGCTTTCTTTACTCCGCTTGCAGGAGCTACGGGGGCCTTAGCCGCCTCCTTAGGCTGTTTCGGAGCCATTTAGAATCTAAAAACAACAAAATACAACCTCAAAACAAACGTGTCACGAGAACTTTTTGATTGAAAAGTTTTTTTTAAAGGTAAGCCTTAAGTTTGTATTCTTCACCAAGTTATCTTGCACTTTCTAATTTGCTAATTTTGACCACACAATATAATCCGAAACAAAATAACACTTCACAATCACGGACATACTGTAACTTTAACTTAACAAATTAAAGTTAAATTATTATATTTTACCGGGATGTTATCACAGAAATATTACACAAAACCACTTATCTGAAGAATACATTAACGAATTTTATTACTAATTAATAGAAATCTTTAAATATTACACTTATTTTTGTAGATTTATTTTATACAAAAACAACATCGACTCACATTAAAACCGGGATCAAGAAAAAGAAGTTGACATTAGAATTTAGTGGTCAAATTCGCTGTTGAGTTTGACAGCTTCTGATGTATGACAGTAAGCTTAATTGAATTACTTGACATAAAAACTTTTTGTATATTTTTGTATTATATAACGCCATAAAATATAAATTATATTTACATACTAAAATGTTATAATAAAACAAAATAATATTTAAATCAATTAAGTTCTTTTTTTTATAAATGTAAATTTCAGAACGTTTATGTTAATGTCATAGTTGCTTGTCAAATACAATCTCAATGACAAATCGCGAAAATGTAATTCGCATTTTTTATTTTTATTCAGTTTTCGAAATGGCTTCTTTGCGGAGCCCGTCTTCGCCGTCCGACGGATATAAAAGGTTTAGTGATGATTTCGCAAACTCCAGCATCAACAATTACGGCTCAAACGTCACAAGTAAACGAGAAGCTATATTTCAATGCACAGTAGCCGCATTTTATGTACGCTTTTGTTGTTAACAATACATTTTTATTCATGTTAATTAATTTATTTCTTCAACAATAGATTTATCTGGCTTAGTAAATCCCATTAGGATCGATTGTGTCTCTAGGGACACGATTTAATGAGTCACAAACATACCGTGAATACTAACATAACATCATAAAAATACTACAGTTAGGCTATCGACCTAAATCATGTAAGTCGGCTTGACGCAATCAGTAAAATTCTGCATGTTAGTGCTTCTGCATGATGCTAGATACACATTTAGTAGTTATAAATATAATTTAAGTTTTTAATGATTCAATAACCTGAACATAAGTACATCCTGTGAGCAGATAAGTTTATGATCACTGGTTTATTGCAGTTTTAACTTGTACAGTCTCAATTCCTATGTCATAGAAAGATATTTTTAGTATGTTAAACTCAGAATTTGTATTAAAAAAACGCTATGCTTAATATTAATATGCTTATGACAATTATATTATTTAGAGTGTGAAAGATGTTCTGCTTATTAAACTTCATTAAAATTAGATCAGTAGTTTATCAGCTGACCATTATTATGCTAACAATCAATGAGTTGAGTACTCATACATATTATTAAATCTAGTACTTACCTACATATGACACTACCTTTAATTCTCTGATATTGTAAATCAAATAACTTGAAAGGGGAGATAAACAGTCTGAATGAAGAACATATCTCTTATCAACAAATGATAAATCTATGATTCATGACATTATTCAGTTATGTAGTGAAAGCAAACATAAAATGTCGAAATTGCATACAATAGTATATTATGTGCTTAGGGATCATTGGTATAAGTTAAAATCATGTAAGTGCTTACAGTTTCTTGATTTATGACTATTGATTAACTGATCTAAGGGCAATTTTAATTGGATTATCATAGTGCAAAGATTATAAGTTACTATCCTTATTTGATAACAGTTAAATGTACAGTTCTAAATATGTTCTAGGTTTTCTATTAAATGACGCGTGTGTTGATGACGTAACCGAAATGTTTTTGGTCAATGAGGGTAAGCTTACGGCATTCACTTGAATAACGTGCGGATTATAATATATTTAAAAAAACTTGTCGTAATTGCTACGAGTCGTAGGTTTTTTATAACCTTACCCGTTTTTAATATTAATAAAACTTTACACATTCTTAAATATCAAATACTGTTTTATTGTCTAACCACATTAATAAATAACGTATAAAATGTGTTTAAAACAATTATAGGTATCAATAGAGAATATAATACCAGATCTGTAATTTTTGCATATAAAAGTTTGAATCGTACTTTCGAATTGTGTAACACTGTAATCGTATTGTTACTTCGTATAAATTGAACAATATGACCCGCATTTCGAAAAACTGCAAGGTCAATGCCTTCTGTAATTGCCATGCTTATTAATCTAATTAACTTGTATGTAGTTCTTAATTATGTGCATTACCTATTTTTATTTAATGTGGTAGATACTCTAACAAGGATGTTATTGATGACTTGATGATGAAAAAAATATTTATAATATATTTATTTTCTCACATGATATACCCATATCTTTTTATTTTAAAGAAGCGAAATAATTCAATAGGTAGGTCTGAATACCCAAAGGTGATATTGATATGTAATTTCTAAGCAGAAAAGTCAGTAAAGTTCTTCGATAAGTTTGATAATCGTTTATAATGCTCAGGAAGCTTAAAAATTGAATGAGATAGAGTCATGAATCCCTCCAGTCCTAATAAGCCACAGGTCTCATAAAATTGAAAGATTATTAACATAAGAACAATATAAAATGCTTATTATTAGTACGACCGTGCGAAATGCGGCGGCACGAATACATTAATGTCTATTTTCTAATAGAACAATTGCACATGACCCTCTTTCCTATGACTTGAATTTACAATATTATACTTTTCATGTGAGCCTAAGTGTAGCCTAGATACAGTTATTACTTATTATGCGAATTTTTTTTCGTTTCTTACGAATGGATTAAATTTGACACCAATCGCAAATATTTGATCCACTTTTTAAAATCAATCTCGCTTGGCATTTTTACTGTTTTTGAAGCTGGGTCGCAGAAGCTTTTGTTTGTTCAAGAACCTTATGTTACTGATACCGTTACTTATAACTGCGGTTTAGTTTAAAGGGATAACTTCCTTTATCCGGTATTTATCGTCAACCCTAACCAATAAGTAAATAAAAGGCTTATAAGTTATAATGAAGAACTTCTAACATTACATAGTATATGACTACGACTTATGGGCTGGAAATAGGGAGATGTTTGACACAGTAATGCGTGATTTTTTTGACCAGAAATATTGAAGTACATATTTTAGTATGTAACATTTTATAGATCAGATATTTTCCTGGATAGGTGCCATATACCTGAATTGATACTTACCGCTGAGAAAAAAACGTTTACTTAAAAGTAAGGGCCAACTGCTTTAAGCAAAATTAACTATGTTTTTTTCTCTCCATATTTGCAACAATGAACTTAGCTGATTAATTTAAAAATGTCTGGAACTTCGAACTGATTATATTTCTATTTTCTTCCATGTGCGTTGACCGCTACATGAAATCCTATTAAAAACTAATCTGTCTGTTCTGCTTGTCTGCCGTTTGCTATTTTAAAATTGAATTAAGTTACATAAATTTTATATAGATTTTTCCATGCTGTTGGTTTACGTTGCTTTAAAAATAGTCCGTATCGTATATATTTTTGCATAAACCGTTTGAATTAAAAGTAAATGAACCGAAGATTGAAATTATAGTACCAAAAATCATAAGCAAAGACTATTAACTATACTTCTTTGTACTTTACCGAGACCCATAAATATTTCTTTAAATACCTTTTAAATTGACTACCCTTGACTCGGTTAATTCAGAAGCTTAACATACGAAAGTAAACATTTATTTAGTTGATAAAAAGTATAGATAGAAAAAGAAGTCACCAAACACCGTAATTAAATAATATGTGAGATAATTTTCGTTATTACTTATTTGATAATATTAATATAATTATTTTCAAATATTTTTTTAAAATAAATATTAGCTTGGAAGAAGGTAGGTAAAGTAATATGTGGGTATACACTGTTAATAATACAGTGTTTATATTTTAAACACGCTTCTGTTAACCGTACTTACGTTATCACTGATTTTAGAATGTGCTAATTTAGTTACAATTCAGCGCAGTGCAGACTGAAGTGCTGAAAGAGTTATTAAAAATGAAATTTGATGCGAAGTTTTTTTATATAGTGAAAAACCGAGTAACCGCACAAGTGTATTCTTCGTTTACAAATAGTTTTGGTATGTTTTTATCTAAAAGTAAACATTTTTATGTCGTTTGCATGTTTTTTGTTTGATGTCTAAAAAGTTGCGAATTTATAGTCAACATATCCATTGATAGCAAACAATTAGACGATACGATTTAATGGACATTATCAATCAGATACAAAATACACACTCAAATATAATTCACACAATTATAATAATTTTATTAACTGTATGTTTATCAAGTAATAAAATTATTATTACTTCATAAACATAATTAAATATGTAGTTTCCTGATACGATTAAATTAATTAGCTTAACATTATTTATTACTATTCATATTAAAATCCTGAACTTAACAGATTCCAGAACAGGAGATGGCGGCGGAGACACAAATACATTGGACATGGGAAGCCGTTCCTCATTGCACACCGGTTTGCAAATGTCAGAGGATGAGCATTGGGAGATGAACTACCATGAGGCTGCTATATACTTAGAGGTTAGTTATTAATCCTCTAGGGTTCAAAGTTCAAACTTTCTTCCTGGTTAGTCAATGAGGGGCCATCATGACGTAACGCGGCGACGATACAATAACTTGATATTTCGTACCTGGAACCAATCAAAACGCAATACTACTGGGCCCGTTAGTAAGAAAGAAAGAAAGAAAGAAAAAACTTTATTATGCACAATATACAAGTATAGTGTTTGTGTGTTATATGTATGTACCCAAAAAAAACGATTGAACTGTAATATTGTATGACATTATGCAGTCCAGAGACTTAAGTAACAGAAAAAAAAATGTGTGACACTCGGGGACTGCCGCGGTAAAGCTACTGCATAGGATTTTTTATCAACTTATGCAATTATAATTATTTATTATTTTTTATACATGCAGTATTTTTTATCTTTGATATTAATTCAATCTACCACTCTACCAGACTCAAGACTAACACGCTATATAGTCTGTCTCACTCTAACGCGTACCGGCTGCACCGGCCGCTCTTACGCTACGTCACCGTTATCGTCAGAGAGATGTGATGTGAATACGCAGTATGTGTTCTGTGCCACTCTAACGCACCTGCGCTACGTCACCGATCACGCCAGACCGATGTGAGACGCAGTATGCGTTCTGTCCCGCTCTAACGCGTATTGGCCGCACCTATATTACGTCATCGTGTGTTAGGTTTATTTTTGTTACGGAATTTCTTGATTAAGTCGCCGCGCTCAAAGCTCGCGATAAAAGCTATGCAATAGTTTAAAAAAGATGGTCAAAACCTGGAAAAGTTCGACTATGATATAAGGCAGGCATCACCAAAGTTTATGGTAGTCCTCTTGTATGTCACTACAAGGATATTGCCAATGCAAGGATGCTCAAATACGCCCAACATTTGAGAACTGAAATAACTAACCTGCCAGAAACAAGAGAGGTGGACTTACTTTGCATTGCCTCTGACGTTTATCCTGATCTTTTACGTATTACGTGTTTTCAGGAAGGTCTAAACAATGAGAAGTTCGATTCGCACCCGTCAAGTCCGGAGGAGTTACCTGCGTATCTCCGCGTACATAATCCTTGGTACCACGGCCTAGACCTCCTAGCATCACTTGTTTTGATCCTGTTAGCATTTACAGAAGATCCAGCTGTACCTGCTTTCGAGGTAAATCTGTTCAATTCAAAAAAAATATTAATAAATATTTGAAACTAACCCAACCCTTGGAAGACAATTTTAACTTTACAATAAAACATAAGTGGTATTAGAATGTAGGTACAGTAGAAAATCGAAGTGACGTATAGTGTAGTTTGACTAATTTGTCTAAACACCAATCACAATCAAGCGATGCAGACATTCTATTTTCAAATGTGTATTGTGTATTTTTCTTACACTTTTTGACTTCACTATTAAACTGTTTGGAAGTTTGATGTGTATATTACATATTTTAATTATGTTTTATTTAAATATAATAATACATTATTTTACATTACAGTTACCAGTATGGGCCCACGGTACGATAGAGCTACTAGCCCTTACAGTGATCGGTATTGAGTTGCATCTCAAACTCAAATGGATCGGCTGGGGAACCATTTTCAAGCATAAACGAACTATGATTAAGGTACAGTTTTTCCTAAAACTATACGAATATTATTTATTAAGTTATTTGACTTACAATGTATTGAATTCGCGTTAATATCCGTTTCATTTAGACAATATTGCATAATACAATTAATTTACATTAGTATGGAAGGCAAAGAGTGAACTTATCGCTAACAATCCTTCTAATAATGATCTCATTACTTTGTCTATTTTGTTGATCACTATCGTTAACGTTGCATACAATTATAAACCTGATTATACGCCATAATATTAAATAAGTATTCTTTATTTATTTCCACATAATAATCCTACCCTTACAGTTATGACTAATGCAATAGAACTGCACATACCAACAACTTCTATATGAAAATATGCCAGCTTCATAGTTTGGTAATATTGAATTTTAATTTTCAGGGTCTAACATTGCTAATAATGCTACTAGAGGCAGTTGTGGTCCTTTGCCGACAGTCATCCCACTTCAGAGTGACGAGAGCATTGCGTCCTATCTTCTTGGTGGACACGAGACATTGTGGTGGCGTAAGGCGATTCATAAGGCAGATATTGCAATCTTTGCCGCCTATACTTGATATGTTAGGTAGGTTAATGTGTTTCGATGTCGTACAAAAAATCTAAACTAGAGAAACATAGACAATAGTCAAATATTTGTGATTAATATTTGAAGCAAATTATAGGGGACAGCAGCTAGCGTCAGCTAGAGTAGAGCCAAATTATTGATGACATTGACATTTTACAGTGAGGTTTTTTTGTTTTCCAGCTTAAAAATTTATTTAATTAGTCCGTAGAACTACAAAGTCCATATGGCACCTTTACAGTGAGAATATAAGTTTTATAGTTTATTTAAAAAAACACTATTTTGTGTGACCAGCTATGTATTATAAAATTCATCTATTTACAAAGTGAAATTAATCCGAGTGTTTGGGGGGTTTTTAGCGTGCGTGGTCACGGTGACCACGTGACCAGACACTTCAAACAATATATGACTCAAATCCGGTCAAAATAGTGTTTTATTAAATGAATAAAAGTTATGTTAATCAAGTTCATATAGGTTTCTATTTATTTATTTTCGTATTTTTAAAATTTTTACTTAAAAAGAAACTCTTTTCAATTATCCAATATTGTAACGACGTTCTATTTAGAACGGAAATTGTTTATTATTTTTTAAATGGTATAAGTGAAAGTAAATCATAAAATTATTACACTAAATATGGAATCGGAATTTAATAAAGAAGTGTGCTGTAATAGCTAAAAATAAATTATATATATACTAGCAGACCTGCCAAGCGTTGCTGTGGCTAAGGTTTTAGTTATATTACATAGTAGTAATCTATTCAAGGGAAACGGTAGGAGAACACCACTCATGTGGACCACCATGCTTTTTTGGTGGTTATGCCATTAAATTGTAGCTTATGTGAAACGTTGGTACTTTCAACACAGCACCATCTGTTAGAATTGTGACTATAAAATAATAAACAAATATTTTGTATAAAATAATATTTGAAGTAAGCTATCCTATCCTTTAAGTTGGATCAAACTGCACACGGTGTGCAAATTTGATTGATATCGGTTCGGTAGTTTAGGAGTCCATAGCGGACAAACATATATTAAGATACCCGCCGTTGCAAGGTTACTTTATTGAATTTTGATAGATCTATCTTCTATAATCTTTAAGTAAATTAGATAGAACAGCGTTATTTTTCTATTATATCTAATATCATTAATACGTTTGTAGGTCTGCTCATGTTCTTCGTAGCCACGTACTCCCTACTAGGATACTATCTATTCTCTGAGCACATTGACAATGGACATTTTCGGACATTAAGCGATTCGTTCGTCAGTATGTTCGTCCTTCTGACAACCGCCAAGTAAGTTCATTATATTTTTACACGCCCGTGGTGTCAGTATAATTTTTTATTCCCATGTTACTAAACTTTTTTAACATAATCTGTTAATTTAAATTGATGTTTCAGTAGATGATCATATTTATTACGTTCAGCTCGCTAAATATTTAATTTACAGTTTTCCAGATGTAATGATGCCATCTTATGCCAAATCTAAGTGGTATGCCGTCTTCTTCATATTGTACATCATCACAGTTCTATACGTTCTGATGAATTTGGTGAGTATTATAATCGATGTATAAATCTCATTAAGATTGTTATGTACCTATATTTACGAGTCTAAGGTTTCTACAGGTGTTTAGATCGTGTCGATAGTTTTTGCGGATGGCGACCCACTAATACCAAACGAATTTGTATCTAAACGGTCACGTGACAAAGCGTTAGCTCAGTAAAAAAAATACAAATCAGTGGCGCTACAACCTTTTTTATGTCTGGGCCTCAGATTTCTGAATCTGTTTCATGATCCTTTCTCAATCTTATAGGCAAATAGGTGATCAGCCTCCTGTGTCTGACACACGCCGTCGGCTTTTTGGGTCTAAGGCAACCCGTTTTTCTCGCGATGTTTTCCTTCACCGTCCGAGTTAATGTTAAATGCGCGCATATAATGAAATTGGTGCACAGCCGGGGATAGAACCTACGACCTCAGGGATGAGAGTCGCACGCTGAAGCCCTACAAATACGTTTGGTGATGGTTCACGACTGTTGTAGTGATTTTCTCTCAGTCCAGTGATCTGTTCAGACGTTCATGTTCATGCACGATAAAGTCTAAAGTATTATTTTTGAAAATCTCCATATTTCAGATGTTGGCCGTTGTATACGAGACGTTTACTCGTATAGAGCGTGAGAAGTGTCGTGCGTTGTTGCTCCACCGACGTGGGGCTGCGCGCCGTGCCTTCCGCCTTCTGGTGTCGCGTCGAGCCCCACACGCTGTCAAGTTAAGGCATTTCGTTGGGCTGATAAGGCATTATGCGCCCCATTATAGTACGTATACTAGCATCTATATATCTTGTACATTCTTTATAAAACTGCATAATTAAATTTAGTTTAGTTTTTATTAATTCACGATTTGCAGCCCGTTACGTCTGCCTTGAAATAGGATAGATAATCTTTTTTATGTAGTCTTATATTTCTCATACAATAATTGTTTATTACTTAAAAAGCAAAAATATGTGTCAGGTACGTCAGTGGAAGAAGACTTCCTGAAGTTTTCTCCATAAATTCGTTTAGTCTATTCAACGGATAACTAAAATTAACAAAAAAAAATAAATTAATCAAATAATTTTTTTTGTTTGAAACGAACTAAAATTCTGTTCGAAACGAACAAATGAATAATACTGAATATTAAACAAAATCCTTACTTCAAAACTGTAAAAACTAGTTTTAAAGCAAACACGATTTCAATTAAAATTCCACAGGTGGTTTAGACGTATATTTAATGTTCAAACAACTGAATCAATCGACAACGGGCGGACTCTCCCGCACTGAATTTGCCAACGTATACGAAGTATTTGCGCTCCGTTGGGCTCCGCAAACATCGCGGGCTCCTTGGTACGCCGAGTCGCCCTTGGAGCCGCTAGGTAGAGCAGCCGCTGTCATCGTGTATAGGCCGTACTTCGAGTATGTCATATGTGAGTTAATCAGATTTTTTTATATCGAAAAGTTTGAAGTCAATCGCTGTTTTGGTGTCACACACATTTCCCTCATTTCCCTCATTTCCCTTGATTACATTATGTTATATTGTTTTTTGTATGCAAGCGTTTAATAATAGAAATAAGTACAGGGTTGTTGGGAAAATATACTATATTGAAATAATTAAGATAAGAATAAAAGGAAGTAAAAAAATATATGTTTATTATGGAACACAAGATACATGTATCACTTATTCCACGTCATTAAATTTGAATTTGTAGGCATCCCTACTCATCGGCAAAGAAGACAGAGGGTGTAGGCCGAGTGTTTTAGCCGGCGTAAAAAACTCTCGGTACTCTTTTAAAATATCAAATCATCAAACAACTCTTATTTTAAAACAAATATCGCAAATTATTAGAAGTAGCCTGTCTAGCACTAGTCCCAGGCCCTTTTATCAACTAGATAATCGTTGACTTTATAGTAAGGCCTTTATACACAGCTTTTCTTTAATACATTTCTTAAATTTATTAAAAGGCAGAGATAAAAGAGCCTCTGGGATTTTATTAAATAAGAGTATCCCTTTTCCCAAAAAAATAATTACTAACTTTAGATAGTCTAGTACAATAACTTCTATCACGTATATTTTCGCGTATCATTCATATACATTTTAAAATGTGGTTTGGTTGATAGACGCTCTAATAATTGGAAATGGTCTGGCGATGGTTCTTCGAGTGCTGGAGGCAGCTGGCGATCTGCAGGACAGCGCTCGGCTCCTTTGTGCCTCCTGGGACACTTGGCTATTTCTTACCTGTGAGTCCACCTTATTTAACAGTTGTTATGATAAAATTTGCATTGTTTGATAGAAGATGTATCGAAAGTTTTAATAAAACTTAATGATAAGCATTATACATAAGATAATATATAATTTTCAAAGACCGGTTTCACATATTTCACCTTTCCCTAATAACCCTACAACATCGACGGTAGTGTTATAAATTGAAATCAACCAAAAATCTTCAACTTTTTATAATACTCTTTACTGTCTAGACTTCCAATACACCCATCTAAGGGTGACGGGTCTGCAGTCCAGCATCGATTTATGAGCACTTCGCTTCGTTTCAGTGTTTTTAATAGAAGCAGGACTTCGGATAATGGCGAGTGGTCTCAGCGCGTATTTAGAGAGCGGTTGGAATGTGTTCGACTTGAGTGTGACCCTGCTTGCGTTGATGGGTGCTGTTCTACTTACGATTGCCCCCAAACTCTTCATTGTCGTTATGTTTAGACCACTTAGGTAAGATTCTATATATAATGAAAAAAAATAATTGCTATTCGTTTGTTGACAACGACAGTTGAATTTTATAAAAAAAACTGTTCCTAGCTGGGAAATATTTGATCTCTTTTGTCTAGACATAAAAAATTGTCACCTGGTCAGATTGTCAGGTTGTCAGAATTTTGTGTTTCATAGCTGTAGGTCCGATCTCTTTGGTGTCATCTACATATTAAATCTGTAAATATCTTGACGTTTATCTTTTGAATCTAAACCCAAAAATAGCTTTTGAATCCTAATCCGTGGTTTAAATCCTAAGAGAACAAATAAAACTTGATAAAAGTATTGTGCAATGCATTCAGAATCTACCTAATAAAAAAATTCGATTAAGTCAATGTCTTTGGATTGACAATTGACAAGTAAATGATAAAGAAGATATACACAAGTTTTTCCACCTGAAATACTACATTTTAATCATATTATCTTATTGGTAAAGTTAAACATTAAACTTATTTGGTCATTATAATGGTCTATGTCTTTCAGATTAATGCGCCTATACAAATTAAAGAAGAGATATAGGGACGTGTTCGGGACACTAGTGTTGCTATCACCGCTTATGTCATCAGCGGGTTGTGTGATGCTAGTGATGTACTATTTCTTTGCCATTATTGGAATGGAATTATTTGCTGGATACAATTTGAGGAATTGTTGCATGTAAGTGTTTAGAAAGATTCGTAATTTTATTGCTAATTATACGTTCATTACACATTTAGGAACTGACTTTAGTAGGGTTACTAATGTTGCTATATTTAAGAAAAATAGAATGGGAACAGAATCAGGGCTACCAGAAAATATATTAGACATGAAATATTATCCAATAAAGTCTCAATTCGAATGTGACGTACTTATAATTTCCGTTATTTATTTGATGTAGTTTAAATGATTATACTACTATTGAATTGCTACTAAAGTTACGTGGTAAGCTTAATGTCGCTATACATGGCAATAATTTAATAAACTCATTCATTCAAGCTATTCAAAGAAGTGAATTTTGATAATACATTCTGATTTTTAATCTATCAATGAGATGATTGATATTCCAGAAACACAACTGTTGAAGACTTTTACAAATACTCTGAGAACAGTTCAACACCACTGGGTTACTACTATTTAAACAACTTCGAGAACATTCTCACGAGTGGTGTGACATTGTTCGAGTTGACAGTTGTCAATAACTGGTTCATTTTGATGAATGCGTTCGCGAGCGTTGCAGGCCAGCTCAGTCGGTTATACTTTATGGTACGTATAGTCTAAAAAAGTAAATATGTTTGTCTATGCCAGTGAAGTCTTTGTAGATTTTTTGAACACTTTAATACTGTGAGACACTATCTTAGAATGATTAAAGACACGGTCAATCTTTGCTAAATTATTGCTGAAGCTAGAACCTCCAACTGGATTATATCTTAAACCTTTATGTATACAAATTCAATAAAAACAATTTTTGTTCAATACAAGACGCATTTTTTTTAAAAAAAAAAGTCTTAATCTTTTTACCTTAGTAAGCAACATCGAACGCCGTTACTATTTGTGCTCTAAAGATTTGATGGAAGTTATATATGAATACCTTTTAAATCCTATAGCGTAAAATATTTCTAAATATTTTAATGTCAAACTCTCCTATTATAGATGGATTCGGATCATTAGAGATTCGGCGTGAGGTATTAGCGTTTTAGTTTTTTTAAAAAAAAAAAAAAATAAAATAATAAAAAAGGGCTTAAAAAAAAAAATTTTTTCGGGGGAATTGAAGGAAAAAACACAAAATTACAATAAATGACTACTTCTTACAATAATTTAAAACTCTTCTACATAAACATATCTTAAGACACAACCCCCTCCCCCCCGAGACTTTTGTTGCACCGCAATTCATGAATCCGTGAGAATAGGGTTTTAGTTGATTCTGTTATTTTTTTTCTATTATTTAAGATTATATTTGAAATTTTTAATAAGATTTCGTTGTGCACTTCTTGCACTTTATCCCATTATATTTCTTTTTTGCGTTTTTTCCTTACTAGGGTTGCCTGGAACAGATCGCTTGTTAGCGATAAGACCGCCCATTGCATCCTTTATAATTTTTTATGTATTATGTTATTTGTTTTTCAATAAATGTAACGAAGTGTAAATAAATAAAAATATTTCAGGTATTCTACCTATTTACAATGGTAGTGCTAACAATAGTAGTGGCCAGCGTTTTGGAAGCATTCCGGTTTAGGATACAATACAAACGTAGTACTACGAAGAGGGATGGTGAGTAAAGAGAACGTACTAAAACGGGGATTAAACTAAGGGTGACATTCAGATACTTAGATATAATTGTAACTTCCGTACGTGTAAAATGTTTTGGATTTTGACTTACGGGAGTCATAAGGCGGAAACACACTATTAAAGCGCCACGCGACCCGACGCAACGCGACGCGTGTTGAGTCGAATCAAATTGTACTATTTTCTATGACTAGAATCACACTCGCGCGCAGTATGCTTCTTGACACCAGACGCCACACGTCAGTCGTTCGAGTTTTTCGCACGAATGTCACATACACACACATTATGACATCAGAAGAAGAAAATACAGTAGTAGAAGCTGAACAGTTGCAGAATGAAAAGTACAGTTTGATAGCATTTTATAATAATTTTGGTCATATATAGTATCAGATATGTACCCAAAATGTGCATCAAAATATTCATCTGACTCATTATTTATTAAATCCATAGCACAATTAGCACACGACTTTACACCTTCACTATTGACAGCTAAATGACTTCTGAATTTGCAAGCGTGTCGTGGTGTCGCGTATTGGTAATGTGCACGATGCACATCGGGTGTCGACACGTTGCGTCGCGTGGCGTTTTATTAATGTGTTTCCGCCTAATAGCCGTGTTTACCATTAATACCATGTTGCCATGATTACGATGTTGTTTCTATACACCACATAAACTATAGTTTACCTTTTGTTTGTAATAATATTAAAAAATGTACTAATTATTTTGTGTGTCAAATAACCTTAAAAATAGTATTTTTCGAATCGTACAATGCGAACACGGAAGTGTATAAACTTAAATAGAGTTAACAATTACAATATTTTTCATTCAGAGGAGAAACTCCTTCATGAGGAAGTCCATACAAGTTGGGAGGAAGCTCAACGAATTGGCGCTACGGGAGACCTTGCGGAACAGTTGAGGACGTATTTACCACCTGGAGTAAGTATTTTTTAAAGCCTTGGAAGAATTCATAGACTTGTAACCGCTGTGTATTTTGTATCCAGTAAATAAATTTATATGAAAGTTCATGTTTATTAAAGTAAATGCTTATTATATTATCGGTAGATAATTTTTTTTAAATGGTCCAAGTTTTTTTTCGATTTTAATAGAAAATTAACATTCTCAACATTCCTCATTTCAGATTGACGTCACGTTTATAGGAACACGACCTCGTACGAAAGAAGTTTTACAGAGGAGAATGTACCAAACGGAAATACAGAAGTGGCTCGCAGAGGAGGATGAAAATGATGGTAAATATTGTTTGGTACCAACCTTCTTCAATAAAAGACTTTCAGTTTGTCCTGTGTTTGTGATTTTGATATTAAATAATGATGATGTATTTAGTTTGTAAGGTGTGTAAATTATTTTTTAAACTTTGAACATTATTTGTTTGTTAGCCTATGAATAGCATTGAAATATATTAGGTATATTTTTTCAGTATTAATCGCTAAATCCAACTGATAAAAGTCCTTTACTCTATTTACTATTACAATATTCAATTATCTAAATGTAAGCTAATCACAAAAAATCTTTGATTACTGTTTACAATTTCTATGTAAGACATAGCTCCCAGTTGTTAGCTTACGCTAATTCCAGAGTAAAAATAACCCAAATTTAAAAGGGTTAAACAAGTGTGTAAAATTCTAAAGAACGTTAATTTCTATGGATTTTACACGATTTACATAACTAAGATATTTTTGAAGTTATACTTCTTTAGGCGCGTTATGAAAAATTTATGAGAGTGAAATTTTACGATGCGCGCGCACCGTGACACAAAATTAACAGAATTGACCACCACGGAAGATGCTACGGCATTGGACATAATTTAAAAACAACATTCGAATAATAATAGAATTTATGTTACACTTAATGTAAGAGAATAATAATAAATATTTATTTATTAAATTTTTCAAATGTAAACTGAACTTTATTGACTATATAATGACTCCTTTTCCAGTCTTTGATTATTTAATTGTAATTAATTATTTGCATGCAATCAAAAACTATTTTTAATAATGCCAAAGAAGTATAACTTCTTACGCGCGTACATAAGTACACGCACCCTTTTTTTTAAATCTCTAAGTGCAGATCAGTATTACATACAAATTACTGATGAAGCAAGACAGTATGCATGCCCCTGTGGGTCATGATCCGACTGATAGTTAACACATTTTTATAGAACTGCAGCCATCAACAACAGTAACGTCAAGCGAGGATCCCCTTTCTCCGCCATTGATCCAGCAGCCTGATGGAGACAACCATCACATACGAAGTGGTTATCAGTTGTAGAATCTAATATTGTTGGCGCTCCACCAACAACTGGCCGAATTGTGGAACGGCCTGAACAATATTGAAGGGGCATAGGATTTGGTAGATTTTTTTGTGAATTAGGGAAATTTCATGGATCATTTTTTCGTGTTTCCGAGCCAGTACGACTTTGGTGCCTTTAATATGTACCAGAGGTATTAGAACTGGCCGAGTTGGAGAGGGCGATCAACGAGTTTAGTGACTTAGAACCCGCTGGTAATATATTGGTATGTAAGTGATGAATATAGCGCAATTTGTTGCTCTGTAATTAGTATTATATAGCCAAAATAATCTGTATAATCGATGTTAGATAAATTATTTTTAGCTTTTTATCAGATTTAAAAAACAATAGATTGATGTAACACCAGTGAAGCCGCAAAAAAATACAACATAACGATTAACGTTAATAAATGAAAACGTATTTACACGTTTAAATATATCTCTAAGACTCATAAAAAATGTGTATTGTATAAACAATACATAAATAATTTTATTATGTATTTAATTACAATTGTATACATTTAGTTTAAAAATGGTGGTGTTTTTTTATTCTTGGAATCTTTAAATACACTAAGCAGTGTTGGCCTAATGGCTTCGGCGTGCGACTCTCATCCCTGAGGCCGTAACTTTTTGTCCATGCATCTAACACTCGCTCGTACGGTGAAGGAAAACATCGAACCTACTTGCCTTAAAAATCAAATGCTAAAACACATCCGAGGCCCAGATCTAAAACGTTGTAGCGTAGACAATGCAGTCCCACCCATTAAGACAAGCAGCTTCACACTTGCATCCGCTCCTAGGCTTTTAACAATATTGCATAATTAGGTATAACGTGTAATTCGCTAACACTTTGTTACATATAACATATGACTCGCGACAACTTGTAACGCGATTTCGAAGTAATAGAAATTTGATTGTTCTAAATCTATGCAATGCGTAAATTTTTTGATTCGAAACTTAATTTTAATGTAGAGAATAGTACTGGTACATCAATAGAGAGTAGCTTTTTTGTCGAAACGATAAAGGTTTACACTTTTTACAGACCAAGCCTATTGTGATTATAATTTCGAATAATTGGTATTAGTGAATATCTGTGATAAATATTTCTTAATTTAATTTACACTTAATGTGGCAGCTAAAATGCGGGTAACAGATAAACATTTGACGCGTTAATCGGAGGTAAAAATCTAGTATTCTGGACAGCCTTCTAGCTAATTTCTATTGTAGAACAAAATGGTTATAAAAATCACGGTTTTTTGTTCATATGAACTACCGTGAACATGAACACGAGGTTTTTGAAATACTAGACTATAAATTAGAACTGTAGTATATGAAATTTGCCTTCATTAGATGTAAGGAAGTCACAGGTATAGGTAGCTAGGAAAGCTTTATGATAACCACTTCTTGTAGGTTCTGCCAGTCTCCATCCAAGAAGATTTAGGCGCCAAATTATTACGCTATACTTTGCTCTTAGAAAACCAATTTTATTCTATTATTAAAATGTAATAGCATGATGATTTTCTCAACTATTTAGACGGATAAATTTTTAGTCTGTTGACTAATGCAGACATTAATTATCACGTGATGATACAAGTCTGTGTCCGCCATCTTTTGCGATATTTTGTCATGTGATTGATAAGTTCCTCATATTGTGGGACATTCGTTATTTCCAGAAAAAAAGTATGGGCCTATTAAAAAGATTCTCGTTTTAACAGATTATTTTAGAAGTTTTCTATCCCTGATCCTCCTCTACCATACAAATCAGGCTCTTTTAAATTATTCATGATTATAAAATATTCTTAAATAAAATGTTAGCATGTCTAACAACTTTTCATAGGTTAATAAGCCAAAAAGATTGTTGTGTGATTGTTTTATTTTCGATACTCGGTTATATTTATTGTTTTGAATGATAATTTTATGTTTAAACGTTGAATGTAGAGCGTTATTTTATTTACTTGTTATTAATTTCCCCATGTACCAATGTTACAGGTAAAAACTTTATCAGCCATTTCGAAAATACAGTACAATATTATGTATAAAATAAGTTTATTTTTTCCACTGCTAATGCAACAGTGGTAATCATTAACGTAATAACAAGAACAATGGATGATTAATATTCAGATTTAGTTGATAATTTTAGTCATCCGCCATATAATAATTAAACGATTTTTATAAATTATTGTTTTAGACTCTGCTAAACGCAAGATTGTGACTTGAGATTTGTTTTAATATAAGCGAATTTACGATTAAATATTCTGATTTTATTAAAATACTTATTATGTTTGCCTTTTCTAGAAATAAGTTTTCGAATAATGATTTTAAATCGATAAGTTTTAACTTTCTCAATATGTTTTATTAACATAATGTTACAAGTAGCGGCACGAAACTCTAGCGCTGACCGTTATTGCGCAGAAGTAAAAAATAAGGTACCTGAGGGGGGCTAGCGGGCGCGCGTAGCGTCGATTGGCTCTCCAGTCGCATTCCGTCCCCCGCGCGACAGTACACATGCGCAGCAATCCCCTCCACGTATCGGCCAGCGCTAGACTTACGTGCCGCTGTCTATATGTATAATTCTAATGTACAACTAGCAAAGTTTAAATTAACAAAAACGTTATTTTGTGTTGTGATCTTCCCGTAATTATTTCAGTATTAATTTTCTCTAAGAATTGATTTACAATAATTTATGTTAAAGTAAGAATAAATAAAATAAATTTATTATATGTATTATTTATTTCGAAATTCCTTTACAAATCTAAGTGAGTAATGTCTTCCAGAATTGGGATTATAATCGTATAAATGGGCTAATCATTAAAATGCCGCTAAATTTCATTTGAAAATAGTGAAATATATTATCTTCCTTTTCATTAATAAATAAAAAACCAAATTAAAATATTATTTATTTATTTTAAATGCATTATTTATGTACTAAACCCCTACCACCATACACAATTAAATTTAACAATATAAACAGATTAGCTAAAAAGAAATCTTTATCAATACATATCCTTTATAGTTAAGCATCGCACGTCTTAGTTAACATATCTCTATGGTCAATAATATTTCAACTGTCACTGTCACGACCAGGAGATTACAGAAGACAGTCACACATAGTACTGGACTCCAGGCCCTCCAAGGGCAGTGTCGATAACTTTAAATCCTTTATCCGCCAATTCTTTTGTTAGATCGTCAATAACTTTTTGATTTGCCGTACGTGGGACTAATACTATTGCATATCTGAAACAAGTAATGTTTCCATTAAATTTACGCCAAAGCAAGTTTAGATTCGGGGTAAACTAGAGTTTATGTTTGGAAGAGACTATTTTAAAAATTGTAAGTCTCAAATTCGAAAGCAGATTACTGTAAATTTTTTTTTTTTAAATTATATATATAAATAAAAATTACATACCCTCCTCCCCCCGCGCCGGTAAGTTTACACGCGAGGCCGAATTTATCCGCACTTGTTCTAACACTCTCTAAAGCGGGATGTGACACGCCAATGGACGCAAGCAAACAATGATTCATGTTCCACAGCTCCTGAAAAATAACCGTTATGGGTCATATTCATATTTTATCTGATCAAATGCCTTAATCTTGAAGATAAAAAATTTAACGTATTTACCGCCAAGTTTTGATATTGGGCATCAACATCTCCTTCGCAGTTGGATGATTGATTTTGTAGAATCTGTAATAAAGGGCACAACTTAAGCTACTAACTATTTACAATTCAAATAGAATGGATTTCCGGAAAAACAATAAAACAGATATTTTATAAAGCAAAATAGTTGTTTAATTGAAACTGTAGATACAATCAAAGATGATGGTTTTGAGGTTGTCGTTTACACCACAACCGAACTGTAAAGTTTCTATAACTTAGACGCACTCTTAGTAATCTATACAAGATAATGAATATAATCCAGAGTTTTAAGCCTTCCTTTTTCTCTTAATTGTGCAAGTGGTCCTCTCAAGTCAACCTTCGTCTATAAGTAGTCAATGTAAATAAACTAAAATATTTTGCGTTTAATACAAATGTTTTTAGTTAACTTTTGATTAATAGTAATTACCAATAATATAGCTTGATTGTCATACCTTCAATGCACTCTTTGCTATATGATCCATGGCGGTCATCACACAGTCCACTGCCTCTGGGTTTCTCCCCATCAAACCTCGCACTTTTTGTGCTAAAACCTGGGTCTGTCGACTAACTTGCGTGTCAACCAAGAGGATACGAAGATTTAGTTTTAAGTCAAGAAGATTCGGTTTCTGACCCCTACAAAATACTACTAGAGAGCCGAAAGTCGCTGTCGTGTTGTCTATGCCTAGAAATAATATTTTTTTCAATTTAAGGCACGACCCAAGCCACAAGTTTGCCTTGATTTGATCAGAATGTATAAAAGAAGACGTTTTTTAATAATATTATACTGAATAAAGTCTCGAACTTAAATACATATATTTAACTTTTAAATAGTCATTGATAAATAAAGACCATACCTGAAGGCGTCCCGTGCATGATTCTTTCACAGTTATATGCCCATTGAGAAATAAGCTGCTTCTCCTCAAAATTTATAATACTTTCATTAGAACCTTTTGCAAACCGCAACAATGCCGCCGCTAAACAAACTGCAAAAGAAGCTGAACTTCCCGTTCCAGCACCAATTGTCAAATCTGACACAAAGCTAATCTCAAAACCACGTATTTCTTTCCCGCCAAAAACACCAAAGAAAACATAGAAAATGGCAATTAATGCATTCTTTTGTTTACCGCTGAAGTTGTCGAAGTTCGGAAAGGTGTTTTTTACGAATATTTCTGTTTTTATTAAATGCTCTTCGTGAGGTATTGATTGGGGGTGTTCTATATAGCTTTTGTAACTTAATATTTCCGTATTTATATGATGTAATTGTACTGATTCCTTTACTAGTACAGATGGCAGATTAATATTTATGAATGTATTGGAAGTTTCCTAAAACATAATAAAATATTATTAAGTCAGTATGTATTTATATCGACACAAGAACTCTGTTTCAAATTCAAAGCCAATTTTCCTATTTTATTTAGATAATCGGTAGTTTAAGCTAATCGAATCTTACTTTGTTAATCATAAAAAATAAACTTTAAAATTGTGACAAGATCATACGTTATAATTAATGTAAAGAGACTAACTTTTTGGGAGAAATAATGTGTTACATAATCTAAATAATCACTTTTCAACTATCATTAAAAAAATTAATACTTTTACAAACTACCATAGGCCGCGATTATAATAGATAGCATTAAATGTTTACTACGATCTTTTAGCTGCATTTACCTTTAAATAAGCAGTTGTCCTCAATCCTAAACTAACCGCAATCGCAGTCTTTCCAAACACAACGGAATGTTCTCCATGAAGAATCACCTTCCCGGGGGCTGATACCGAAAAATTCATAGTAACCTACTTTTATTCACTCTGATGTCATATGTACGTGAACAAACAAACTATAAATAAAACGACTAAAGATGGTTTGATGCGATTGTATTTACATTGAAATCACTTTTTCCACTGTTCGACAGTCAACGTTTTCTGACTGAACGCGTGTATCGTCTTCAGCTCTTCTTGCAATACTGAGTTTACTAGCCTGCAATAAATTACGAAACAAATCAAAGTCAGAACAAACGAACATTGTCATGCGATCACGGATTTGATTTCTTCATTGCGTCTAGGTTGGTGGTGGTATTGCAGAATGCAGAAACAAACATAATTAAGCTTAGAACGCAAAACTGCCAAATTACTACATTTACGACAGCAAATACGATGGAGAACTATGTCATATAGGGGGGCACGATAATGCGCCCGCCAAGTCGAGCAGTCATCCTTGTCTCGAAGCAGTTCAGGCCATTTTCGACGTCCCTATAACTTCGTTGTGGATAAAATTAGAAGACTCAGTTACTAAGCAAGCATTCTATAAACACGGTATATTTCAAATTTCATTTAATTGGAACCAGCAGTATAAGTTATTGTCTTGATAGCAAACTTAAATAGATTTTAATATAACTTACTTATGTCTTGCGAGAAGCGGCTTTCCCAGAAACTTATCAGAGACAACTAGAACAGAAAATTTAGCCCCACAACCGTCGCTGTCATCTATGACTTCCTGCAAAATAAATTTGTGTTAGCTATCGTATATAATTTAAGATTCTTATTTGCATGAGACTCTTGGTTTACACTTCGGTGTAACGAAAATATTTAAAATGAAAAAAAACTGAAACTAGGCTATAGAAAAATTGATATCAGTTATAGCATATTTTGTAGAATATCATTAACTAACAGTCTTCTTATTACTTACTACTCTAATAATAGTTAGCGTAATAAATAATTTTAATGATAATCTCAAATTTTAATTAATCAACAAGATTATTTCATTTTTAATTAGGGACTTTCAATTCCCAAAAAAAAATAGTTATTTACAATAGACAATGTATGGTAATGTTCTACTATTATAACTTTAACTTGGTAGTATTTAATTGCATATTCACAGCTTACATTGTAACAATGTGACATTTTAATGCTATATAAACTTTTGGTACTCTAAGAAAAAATCTAACCAATTTAAAAACCAGCTTTTAAGAAGCCTAATTTTTGTGAAGTTCTGTTATAAATTCCTTTTTTTCGTCATTTACCATAGGATAATAAAACCAAAAGGTCTTCAATACTATTTTATTTAAAAGATATAAGAATACAATCAATTGTTTTTCTTTGGCTTAACTTTAATTGGAAGTACAGTTGGCAAAGCTAATTGTTTGTGCATAAAGTATACAAAGAAAAATAAAAAATGGATGCATGAAAACATTGAAATAAGCAAAGGAAATAGATCTGGGTATTTATCAGGTGGTTTAACAAACAGCACACCTAATAACAACCAAAACATTCCTTGGAGTGATAAGAAAAATGCTGTTGAGAGAAGTTTTAAAAATACTGAATTGTAAATAACATTTGGATGGACTGATTTATAAACATTATTAGCATTCAAAAAAGTCATAAACCAAGCATTTGGCTGAGCTAGCTTTAAGCAAATGCTATAAAAAGCTGTGTACACTAAAGATGTTGCAATAAATGGAATTAATAATTGATCTTTTACCAATAATGGTAGCATACTAAAAGTAGATACTAGGCCAAACCAAAAACACATGAATGGGTCATCTGGAAAGTAAACCAAAACAGGTATTGCAGCAAGAAGAATTGTCTTCTCATGTACTTGAAAAGAAAACAAAAAGAATGCTAAAGATACATTAATTAAAGACAGTACAAACTTTTTTCTATTTATTCTAAAAAATAAATCTAAGCAAGATGGCAATGATGCCATTAAGGTTGAAAGAAAACACATTTTAACCATCTCCTCATTAGAGTACACATTTTTAAGTTTTATAAACACATTGACAGTGCACCAAAAGTTAGATACTTTATCTTCAAAAACGCCTCTGTTAAAGGGAAATAATCTCTGTATTACAGGAAGCATATTATTCCAAGATGTAATAAACGGACACCATACTAATATAAAGCAAAATACAACTGCAATTGCTAGTTGAATAAACCTAACCAATGCATGCAGGACTCTACTGCGATTGGGTAAACCAATTAAACATTTCCTTAACAAATAAAAGAAAAAGGGCAATGCATGATATAATTCCATTTGCTTATAGTTTAAAGCAAGAACAAAAAATACTGTGGCTAATATATCATTTTCTATGGCGACAATGAAGAACGTAGCCCATAAAAATAAACCCAATGATATACAATTATACTGAAAATGTCCATGATCAATCAGAATAATTCCAGGATACAATAAAAACAGTATTGTAGCTATATCAACTCGTTTAAACACATTTCGATCATCTTTTCTTTTTATACGTTCAACATCAATGCATAAGCATAAGACAGCAGTAACATAAAAGTAGATATCACTTAGAAACACAGTCCAGCGCATGAAAATCTTGTGGCTATCATTTTCATAACCTCTTGATGCAAATAATCGTACTGATTCTGGATCTAGCCAATCAGCAACCAGCCCCATGAGAAAACTATGATATGCAGTTAATGGGGGATAGTCTAACCCCCAATATTTCAAGTCATTATGCGTCGTATTCCGGTACCAATTCACTACCGGCGTATGCACTGTTATTTCCTGCCAATGACGCTGGGCCTCGTAATCGCCGAACATTGGAGGCTTTTTGTATCCAGAGTAAGGATAGGCGGCCACACACCATCGTATAACTAAAGCGAAAAACAAACCGGGAAGTAGCGCCTCTTTTGTCACTGTAAATTTGTCGGGATCAGCTCGTTTTGTCATAGTGTATATTTAAGAAAATTAAACCATATTTCTTAGCAAAACATCTACAAGTACGATACGGGTAAGGGTTGCAGTAAGCAGACGTGTTATGTGATAATTTGACAGTTCATACTTACAACATGAACTGCGTCAAGCTCTTTTGTTAACTTTTCTTTGATATATTCTTCCGTATACACCATATTAGATTTCTAGCAGTAAATAGTTGTAAATATGAAGAGGGGATGGTATTTCTAACCTTCTAATTTAAACTTAAATCTACGCAATTTTCACCTTTAGGTTATATAATTTTTTTTATGTTGATGTTTATAATTTATATCACCATTCACCGCCTTGATAGAAGCTGTCAAGTGTCAACTGACAACTACTGTTTTAATTTTATTTTATGTCAAGTCTAAAGTGAGGAGTGGATTAAAAATGCGTTTAAAACTAAGTTTGTGCAATGAGGTTCAAAACATATTTTTTTAGATATAATTAGTGAGATTAAGAGATGAAAAGCATAAAATCTAGAGGATGCAAAAAAATATATTTGTAAATTATTTTGAAAAAAATTTAACTCAAATCTCAACCAAAAACTTGTCATATAATTGCAATTTTTGAGTAGCCTCAAATAAATAAATTTTTTGTTTAAATTTTTTTTACTTTCACCTTACTAATAGTACAATGAAAATGGAAGGTGAATCAACGAAATTCATGAAAAATTTAACCGAATGGAGTTTTAGTCAGTATCCTAAATACATTTTGTTACCAATTGATGAAAACTATGAACAAGTCAAGCCTAATCTAAAGAATATTGTGTATTCAGAGGTGAAATATGCATTTATTTAAAAACGCTGTAAAAAAAGTGATTAAAATTTCGTTGCTAAAGCGATGCAAAATTAGTGATTTTATGCAAAAAAATATTTTATAACTTATTACAAAGGGAATCATAGTTATTCATTAGATCATAGATAGCTAACAGCGTTTAATTTAATATTATTATTAAAACTAAATTATTTGATTTTTTGATCTTATGTAAGGTTACACCTCGGCCATTAGAAAGAAACCTTCGGTTGGTTTGTGTATCAGAAGATGCGCTGAATAATATTTTAAATATGGATATTGAAATGGCGTCTCGTGATGAATTTATCGAATTAATAGCGGGAAAGAAATTACCGTACGGGGCTTTGCCTGTTGCTCACCGGTAATTAATTGGTTATTAAGGAATTATATATGATTATAATATTAAATGTATTTATTTTTATATTTGAGTAACTAATCTTGTTTAGTTACGGTGGTCATCAGTACGGACTATGGGTCGGACAATTAGGAGATGGACGCGCACACATTCTAGGAGAATATGTAAATCGGTAATGGCATTATACATCACTTGAAAGTTTTTATGTTAATTGGTTTTAAATGTATGCTAGATATATTACTTATATAAGTTCTGTATCTATGTAAACATATTTTGTTTATAGTAATATGATATTTACTTTGGTCATAGGTAAGTTTTGTATGCGGTAATTTTTTTAGTTTGTCTAAAAATGTTTGTTTAAAGCTTAAGTGAACGATGGCAAATACAATTGAAAGGATCAGGTCCAACCCCATACTCTCGTACTTACGATGGAAGAGCAGTCTTACGGTCAGGAATAAGGGAGATGATTGGTGCTGAAGCCTGCTACCACCTTGGTATACCTACCACTAGGTCTGCAGGCTTAGTTGGTAATTACTTCATGTTATTAAATATAGTTTCATATTAAAGTTCTTCCATGTTTTTAATAATTAATAAATAATTTCCTAATCTTTGTGAAGTCATTAGCATGATAGGTAATTTTTGAATTATTTTAATAGGATTTATGATTACTACCTGTAGTTATTTGAAGGAAATTATTATATATTAATTAAAATCTTGGGTTGTTTGGTTGTATATTCTAAACAACTTAACTTTTATTTAGTAAGTGACGAAACCGTAGTACGAGATGTGTACTACGCAGGCAGTCCAAGACGAGAGAAAGCAGCCGTCTTACTCAGACTGTCTCCCAGTTGGTTTCGTTTTGGATCACTAGAAATACTTTCAAGAAATGGCGAAATACCTGTTTTAAAGCAACTGCTTGACTTTGTTATTAAGGTATGATTTCTATATAATAGCAAATGGGATTTCTGATATACTGACTCCCATCTCAGTTACACGAAACGATATTATAAAATACTTATCTCTTAAAAATATAAATCCTTTGATATTGTCAAGGTTTATTTTATTTGTGTTTTAGGAGTATTTTCCTGATATACAATTAACTGATGAGAACAGGTTTATTAGATTATTTTCCGTAATCGCTCACAGAACCCTTGCTTTAGCAGCTAAATGGCAAGGTGAGTGTTATACTGTCTCAATCGTGTAAAACTGTTTATTAAGTACCTACTCTTAATTGAGTTTTGTACGCATTAAGGATTCGAAACGCGATTTAAAGTGACTCTCGTATGTAAAAAATGTCTGAATCTGGTTTTTGAATCTCACTCTTAGGGCTAGTGAGAAGCAGAGAATATAATAATATTTTTTTAGATGCAAAAATATGTCATATATATGTTCCAAACATTTTAATACTTTGTCGTTACTAGACGTGGCAGTCTTATGCTAGAATGCTCACAAAATCTTTTCGATAGAATCAGGATTATTTATGTTTTTTATGTGTAGTAGTCCTTAATTGTTCTGATCTTTGATCAGTTTTCGAAATTATTATGTATTAACGGATGTATAAAGCGTTAAAATTGCTTCAGGTTTTGGCTTTACCCATGGTTTATTAAATACGGATAACATGAGCCTTTTAGGCCTGACGATGGACTATGGCCCATTTGGATTTGTAGACTCTTATGATGGTGGCTTTGTAGCCAACTGTTCTGATGGAGAAGGGCGGTATGCGCTATCTAAACAGCCTGATGTAAGTTTTGTACCTCCGAGTATATATGTTTGCTTGGTACTTTTGCATAATCATATTTATTACGTTTCATACTTATGCTTTACTTACATTACTTATTTTTTATCGTTTAGCTGCTCTACAAATAATATTTTATATTTACCTACTCATCAATTGAAATTTTGTATAGGTTGTCGTCTGGAATGTCACTCAACTAGCAAATGCAATCAAACCTCTCCTGTCTCCATCTCAGCAGATTCATGTGACGCATATATTAAAAACCTTAGACACATACTGCAAGAACAAAATTTTGTAAGTTACTCGTGATTCACATATACATAATACATATACATACATCAAGGCATAATGTAAATATGCATCAATTATTATATAGCTAAATAAAGTAAGTGTCTTTTATATAGAATATTTTTATATTTATAGAGAAACTTTTTTGATGAAAATTGGTTTACGGGAAGAGAGAAGGGGCGATGAACAGCTGGTGGAGAAACTATTAGATATGATGCAGCAAACTGGTGCTGATTTTACGAGTACTTTCAGACAGTTAGCTGAAGTGAGATAATTTTTTATTTGGAAAAATAATATTTAGTTTTGGAAGTTATACTTCTTTAGGCGCGTTATGAAAAATTGATGAAAGTGAAATTTTACGATGCGCGCGCACCGTGACACCAATTTAACAGAATGAAGTTGCCCACGGAAGATGCTACGGCATTGGACATAATTTAAAAACAACATTCTAATAATAATAGAATTTATGTTACACTTAATGTAAGAGAATAAATAATAAATATTTATTTATTTAATTTTTCAAATGTAAACTGAACTTTATTGACTATAATGACTCCTTTTCCAGTCTTTGATTATTTAATTGTAATTAATTATTTGCATGCAATCAAAAACTATTTTTAATAATGCCAAAGAAGTATAACTTCTTTCGCGCGTACTTAAGTACACGCACCCTTTTTTTTTATAGAACACGGGACAGACACATTTCCAAAAGAATAATCATAATAATTTAAAAAAGGGTTCAGGAAACTCGTTTTAATAAGTGCGATGGCTTTGTCATGTAAGAAAGAATCAGAAAAATGCTAGTTTGCTTACAGTTGGATCCAAACGAAATGGTGAATGAGATAAAGTTAAATGAAAAATGGTCACTTAAACGATTATCGATGCATGCTTCGTGGGGCTGCTGGCTAGATCAGTACAGGGAGAGATTAGAAAAAGAAGCAGGTTAATATTCCCGTCCTATGTCCTATCGGTTGCATGCTCGCAAGTAGTTACAAAACTTTGCTTAATTACGCTTGTTAATAAACTGAAGTCGTGAAATATTTTTCATAGTAAACGCGTACAACGCCAAGTACGCGAATGTAAAATCATTTTCGAAATTTTTAATCCCGAAATCCGGCTTTTATAGGGTTTAGTAACAAATTTAAAAAATAATTTTAATTTCTTGTTCAGTGGACACAAGTTCTTTGGGTGTGTTTGAAGATGAGCGCCGACGTAGGATGTTAAGTGTTAACCCAGTCTATGTTCCAAGGAATTGGATGATACATGAAGCGGTTTTAGATGCGGAGCGAGATGACTTTGAAAAAGTACCTACTTACTTTTTGATTATTTTTTAAAATTATCATGTTTTGTTAAACCTTTAAGAATCTTTAACACTACTAAATCAAATTAAATTTTGGGCATATTTTCAGATAAGGTTTCTCTTAGAAGTGCTAAAAAGACCATATGATGTTCAACTTGCAGCCGAAGCCAAGGGATTTTCAGCTCAACCACCACATTGGGCATATGCGTTAAAAATTAGCTGTTCAAGCTAATTGAAACTAGTTTGATCGAGTATTATAAATTCAATAAAATGTTAACTATTTTAATTGTACTTGATTGGTAACGAGAAGTTTAACAAGTAGTGAACGCATCTTTATATAAATCTAATCTGTGATCTTTGAGAATTGAAACCAAAATAAATGTTGTGAAACTCCAAAATTTTTATAAATTAACTAAATAAGTTCCTATAATCGCAAACCATAAATTAGGAATCATTTATTAGTTAATTGTTATAATATTAATGAAGCGTGGATTAAGTGCGTTCAATGCGTTATTACATTCTCAAAAAGAAATTATGTTGGGAACCACAAAACTAATAAGTGATTTTAAAGATTTTAAGTTTAAATCTTCACCAAATTATGCTAAATTGCCCATTAATGAGAATCCGGAATATAATGTCCCTGTTGCTGTTAATAATGCAATATTCTCCAAGGTAATAAACGGTATTTCTATTTCATATAATATTATTAAACTAAATTTCCATTAAGATATTTATTATTGTGATATTTTGCCTGACTCCAATTCTTGTAACGGCACTGTCGTCCATATCGTTGCGATAGCCTTTATAAATAAAACAATGTTATCTATCACGTCACTGCTGTTATATAAAATATGTTTGAATAGTTATAAAAAAAAGAAACATTTTGCCCTATGCAAATTCATAGGTGCTACTTATTATTTTTAAGTTCTTATCTAAGTATACATCAATCATCAATTTTTATATTATGCCTGGCATCAATGTCTCTAAATCTATCATAATTTTTCAGGTCCCAACAGAGCCACTGACAGGCAAGCTTCATCTTGTTTGTGTATCAGAAGAAGCATTAAATGATATTTTGGATTTAGACTCCAAAGTTGCAGACAGTGAAGAATTTGTGAACTTTTCTGCAGGAAAATATTTGCCTGAAGGTAGCCTTACTGTATGTCATAGGTAAGTTAAATATTAACAATTATTGCTATAGTAAATCTACTACTGAATATTTTGTTGGTAATATGCTGGATATGTACATCTTTTATGCACCAAATATAGTAGTTGAAAAAACGTTGTATGTAAATACTTATGACAATATGTAGTATATATCTATTTCACAGATATGGTGGTTACCAGTTTGGGTACTGGGCTGATCAACTTGGTGATGGCAGAGCACATATTCTTGGAGAATATGTTAATAGGTTATTTATTTTCTATTTAAACAAAAGCAAATATTTATTAATTTAAAGCTAATTAATAAAAAAAATTTTTAGTAAGGGTGAATCCTGGCAAGTTCAATTAAAGGGTTGTGGTGAGACACCTTACTCTCGTTTTGGTGACGGCAGAGCTGTATTAAGGTCTTCTATCAGAGAAATGGTGGCCAGTGAGGCTTGCTTCCACCTTGGCATACCAACCACTAGAGCAGCAGCTTTGGTAGGTGAGTTAAAATAATTATTCAATTATGTACTTATATTGAGGTACAAGAAATAAACTATTACAGATTTAGATTTAGAATTTATCTGTAATTGTAATTTAATATTGCAGTGAGTGATGATCATAAAGTATGGCGTGACAAGACATATAGTGGGCGTGCGCTCCAAGAAAGGGCGGCAGTGGTGATTCGGCTTGCGCCTGCGTGGTATAGGATTGGATCCTTTGAGATTCTGCTGAAACGACGCGAGCCGGATCTCGCACGGACGCTAGCAGATTTTATTATTGAGGTAAAACTTTCTTATACACTTATTTACATTACTATAATATAAATAACTACTATGGTGTACATGTAATATTGAAAGTATCTTATCAAAGGGAGAATACGGAAGGTAGAGAAATAGATAGTTTTTAAGAAGAAAGTCAGTGTTGTAAGAAAAGTTATTTGTTACATTTATTGTTGTTTTAGCATCACTTTCCTGAAATAAGCATAGATGATACAGATAGATATGTCAAATTGTACTCTGAAGTCGCACATAGGAATTTGGACATGGTGTCCACATGGCAAGGTAAAAATGACATTTATGTACTATTATATATATTTTATGCGCTGACTTAGATAACACTCTAAAATCATCCATATTGTTATTATAACTATCCTCTGGTTAATTTGTATGAAAATTCTTAAACAGCCTGGCACATAATTTTTCGTCTATAGAATATACGGAAATAAGATATTATATGCATGTTAGTCTGGAAAAAATTATTATTGAAAATTAATATTATTTTATATATAAATAATAATTTTGTGAAAAATTCATAATTTCTGTCCTAAATTTTTCTCTTTTCTCATTATCTTAGGTATAGGTTTTACTCATGGAGTTCTAAACACTGATAATATAAGTCTGCTTGGAGTGACCATAGATTATGGACCGTATGGCTTCATGGAGCATTATTATGATCATTACGTACCAAACTCCTCTGACGATATGGGTAGATACGCTTACAAGATGCAACCTGAAGTATGAAACTTATAATATTCTTTATTAAAAAAAAAGCTTTTAAGGCTTTAATTAATCATAATTTAAGGATCAGATTCATCTACCAATATTATTTAAAAGAAATTAATAATTTAGTATTCATTCTGTTTTACATGCTCGGGAAATTATTACATTCAAAAAGAGAATACTTACGTCTTTTATTTCTTTGGCACCACAAAAATTGTATAGGACGTAAATGCAATTTTGAATTTTGTAGATTTGATATTTTCCTATAAAAAAAAAACAGTGGCGCTACAACCTTTTTAGGTCTAGGCCTCATATTTCTGTATCAGTTTCATCAGTTGTTAATCTAATGGGCAAGATGATCAGCCTCCTGTACCTGACACACGCCGTCGACTTTTTTGGGTCTAGGGCAAGCCAATATCCTCACGATGTTTTCCTTCACCGTACGAGAGAGAATTAAATGCGCACATTGAAAGAAAGTCCATTGGTGCACAGCCGGGCAGCGAACCTACGACCTCAGGGATGAGAATCGCACGCTTAAACCACTAGACCATACCATATTTGCGTATTCACTCTCTTTTAAAACAGATCGCATCCGACTCATTTCTATCCGATCATTGAATATTTATCTGAAAATTGAAATCACGAAAGTCTCGGAAATACGCACAACGGACCTAGTGAGAGTCTAACTGCGGAAACTGACTCTGAAACCAATCTCGGAATTTTTAACTTGTGTTTATGAACGATGTTATGAAATAAACGCTAAAAATTTCTAAAAATTTGATCCACTTATTAATCTAATCTATTTGATTGTTTTGTATCAAATATTTTCTTTACAGATTTTATTATGGAATTTGGACAAATTTGTTGAAGCGCTTATACCAATATTGTCTGTCGAGCAAATAAACAAGGTCAGAGATATAGAGAAAACATTGGAAGGATATGTCGAAGACAGACTAAGGTAAGCTTTCTCTTCTCTTCAACGGTTTAAGTGTTTCCCAATTTTTGTTTGGGTCATACCCCACCTTAGCCTTTCTAAAATTCTTCAGCCCTCCTCCCATACATCATCATTTAATATCTCAAATTGAATTGCTCACTTAAATGATAGGTTTTAGGAAGAAATTCGTTATTCGTTAACTTGGATTTTTTTTAACGATACGTACTTTTTGTAAAGTAGATTTTACAACAATAATAAATTGTGCGTGTACTAGGTGTACACACGTTAGAAGTGAAACTTCTTTATGATCTTATTTTTCGAAAAATGATCTACTATATGCAACTTTACAGAAATTCGTTAAATTAGATAAAGTTTAACAAAAGGCTTTTATTATCATAGACATGAATACAAATATTTCATTTTACCTTATTACTACGAAGATTATTATAGAATTTCATTAATTGTAATAGAATTATTACTATCATTGAAAAACGTGACGATTTGCTACAAAATTTCTCCCATACGTCGATAAAGAAGTTTCATTCCAACGCCGATAAAGAAGTTTGACTTCAAAAAGCAACATGGCGCGTAACCGAAAAATGTGACGCGTAACGAAAAAATGTTACACTACATTTTTTTCCAACCTCGATAAAGAAGTTTCACTTCAATAAATAATAACACATATAATGAAAAATAATAAATTTTCAAATTGCCCTAGGCCTATTTGTCCAAAAGATGCCAAATATCGAATGTTCTAAATATTTTTTTCAGAAATGTGTTTAATAAAAAGCTAGGCTTGGAAACTTATAAAGAGGGTGACGAAAAAATTTTAAAGGAATTATTAAGTTTAATGGAGGATGCAACAGCTGATTTTACGGCTACATTTAGGCAACTGGCTGAAGTGAGTGACATAAACTTAATATACAAGAAGATATATATATATATAATAATATATTATGTATATATATATATATATGTGTACTGTTTAAGTTTTATTTAATGTGATAAAACAAATTCTCTAACATTTTAAGGAGGTAGTAAAAAAGATTTTTAAAAATAAATTGACATAGAAAAGGGAAAAAATTAATTATTTTTATTTGTTGTTCAAAAGGAAGCGATAAGGATGTGCAGAAATTTTCTAGTATTGATTACATACTTAAGAGAGTACATTTAAGACGGAAATTAGCCTAAATAAAAAAAAGACCTGCCTTAAGGCAAATATGTCCATAAATAATAAATGTATCTATTAAATATTTTTGGTTGTTATGTAATTATTTATATTAGAATAATGTAGATGTGGCCTAGTGGGAAAAACCAGTTAACTAGTTAGTTTAACTTAACAGTTAAAGAAACAATTTGTTACTATATTTTTATTTAATCATCAAAAGGATAGTGGTTGCGCCGGATTGTTATTTTTATAATAATTTTGATTTTAAATAATGGTTGCTCAATACATATACTCATCCTAATAGCTCCTAGACGCATGTCTCATCACCCACCTATTTTATGTCCCAATCCTATGACGGTACTAGTTCCGGAACGGGCTATAGGTGGCAGACGATGAGTCTCTAATAAGAATTAATTAGTGACAATTTTGATGACCCGGTTATGGTTGTTTAATCGCCGACGCTCGACGTTCCTTTTTAAACATTTAATTTTTTTATTATAAACTTTAACTATACTTAATTTCATTAAACTTTAACTTAATTATAATTTGTGAAAGTGATTGGTCATTGGTGTACAACAAAGGAAAGAAGCCACTAGAAGAAGCCACGAGCTTGAAGGTACTGTGCGTCATCCTTTCTTTCTTTTTCCCATGTCCATTATTGAGCAATCATATTAGGTAACAATAAGAAAAATACAGTCCACTATATAACCACTTCAAATATTTAGCTTATAGGTATAAAGTTTTAAAAGTATCATCCCGCGCCGCCATATAGTTGGTCCAAACGAGCCGAGATATATTTCTTAGCTTATAGTTTTTACTTAGCTCCGCTTATCGCTTAGTATAAGAATTTAGTAAGCAATTGTAATGTTATGCTATAAATTCGATCATTACTGATCGTTTGTTAAAGTAGCGTGACCTTGGCATAGTTTGTCGGTCACTGCAACATATTTGCACTTCAGTAAACTTTATACCTAATTATTCTTAATTGCTTTCTATCTAAATTGAATAACTATAATTTTACCGCTATTTAAATTAAAATGCCGAAGAGTGATAAGCTTTCGGAATTACAGATCTAGCTGTAGATATACAACTCGTATATTAGAACAAAAACGGAATACAATATTCATTTGTTTACAAGAGGTATTTGACCTATCTAAGATGCGGATTGTGACCCTTTGATGAGGGAAAACTTTCTGACGCAGTAGTAATATTGAAACGTTACGCTCAGACTTTATTAAAATCTTAGATGATATAATAACGCTTGTTATTTAAATCCTAAGGCACTCCGGAATTTAAAAGTTTAATTGCTCGAGCGGTTTACGGCCGCGTCAAGCGCTTAGTTTCACTGTACAGCTGTAGTGCTAATAAAACTGATAAGGATACGCCGCGGAGACTTAAGCCCTATTTGCCTCTTCGATTGGTACTTTTGACGGGGATATTAGGTCTTGGCCTTTATCTATAATAACTTTAGACTACCATACAGAAAATGAATCACTTAGGACGGTGAAAAGATATATTACCTATTAGGAAAACTAACAGGCAAAGAAAATCGGGCGGTTTAACTTGCGCCGAAAATTATGAAATAATTTATAAAACACTTATTGATAAATTTGAAGACAAGGTTATCTGAACCTCGTATTTAGATCAAATTTACGATATTAAGGGATGTCTATCGCAAACGCAAATAACCTTGAGCAATTTTTAGAAACATTTTCTTCTTCAGTTGCCGCTCTTGAGCATTTAAAGCTAAATAACCTAGCCGATTTCATATTTAGTATATGGCTTTAAAAAAAATAGATACTGAAACAGTTCGTTTATTCGAACTGTATAAACGCAGTTCCGATATACCAAATGTAAAGAGTTTATAAGTTTTATTCGCGAACACCTAAAAATATTACAACGCACTTCAGGTAAATATGATGCTAAGAAAACTTTGGAACGTAAATATGATAGACAAGCAAAATTTCAAAACCAAGCATACATACCTACGCGACTGCACCTACGCAGCCGGTGTGTTCCCTATGTAATACGCGACACGAACATTTGTATACATGTCAACTTTTCATAACATGACCGTAACGATCTTTTAAATTTGTTAAGGCGAATAATCTGTGGTGAACTGCTTAGGGAAGCACCGATTAACTGCCTGAACTCTTCTTCACGCTGCCGCGGTGTAATAATTACATCACACCATGCTACACTTTGATAACAATAACAGCGCCGCAGCCAGGCACACGTCTGGTGACAGTACTTCACGCACTTTACCTGCGCCACGCTGGATGCCGTCACTGTGCGCCTTGCCATCAGCACTTCGTTGAAGTAGTACCGCTAAAAGGGCGACTTCGGTGATACCCACGCAACCCCATGACGTCACATTGTTTCCTTATAATGTAATGCTTCCGAACTATACGGTGTTACTCGCTACCGACGGTTGTTGTTTTCGAACGAGGTAGGGAACATAATTCGCGTTTATTGAAGTGCCTGAAAGTAATTTGCAGTCGCAGCTTATGAGGGTTGGGTTTAGAGACAAACCAGAAACCCTCATTCAGTGGTTAAAGGGATTGGAGGCACTACTAAGCCAATTCAACGGTGAATCCCTTGATTAGAGGATGCTGATGAAAGTCACGGAGGTGCATGTTCTGTGGAATTCTGTTGATCAATTTAATAATTACCTTAGTACGTACCTAGGCCCTGGAGAATTGAATTATGAGATCATCTTTCCTCACCTTCTCTTTTGTGTTCAGGTCAGATCACCGTGTTTAGAGACCGTGTTAGGTTATGTATGTGGTTGTCCTGCTCTAGTTGATGATAGGTTGTCTCATATTGTTGTGCTACAGACCCGCTTGACGCTGCTGTACGTAAATTCTGGCAGATAGAAGAAGTAAGCGTCCCGCAACTATTGAGTCCAGATGATAAGGGTGTGAAGATATCTAAGAGAGACTACCCGTAATACGGATGGTCGATACATGGTGCGCTTCCATTTAAAGGGGATGTATTTCATTAGGTGATTGTTTAAGAAATCTAAAAATCGCTTTCTTTGTTTAGAACGTAAAATGAGGCATCACCTAAATTAAAGGAGGCGTATGAAACGTATTAGTGAAATTTAAATAAGGGTTATATTTCTCCCGCTCCTCTAGACACTGAAGAAACTCGGAATTTACCCTCATATACAATACCTCACCATGGTATAATAAGAGAAGATAAATTTACTTCTAAATTACGATCGTCCTGACGGTAGTTCAAAGTCCAGTTCCCAAATCTCGCTTAATGACATTTTATATAATGGGCAAAATCTGCAAGGAAACTTATTTCATATTATTGTTAATTTTCGCTTATTTCGTATCGCTCTCTCCGCTGAATTCGTCAAATGTTTCTTTGCATTGGAGTTCGGCCATGTGACCGAAGGTTCCAACGCATTCTGTATCGCTTTTCGCCGCAAGAACCCTTGAAGGTTTATGAATTTAACCGCGTGTTTCGACTGAAGTCTAGCCCGTTTCACGCTCTTCGTACCATAAAGCAACTAGTTTTGGATGAAGGTGTTCTTATCCGCGAGCAAGCAAACAGTCAACACTGGTTTGTATATGGATGATTTGTTAAGATTGAAAGAAGATGAGGCTATTTCCACCGCTGGGAAGTAATGCTTTGATAAAGCCGACAATTTGATCTTGTTAAATGGACAAGCAATTCACAAAGAGTCTTGGATTCTATTACGCCGTCGCATCGTCTCTCTGCTGTAAAGGAGTTTGATGACTCTGATTCGCATAAGGATAGGACTATGCTGGTACCCGCAACAGATAATTTTAGTCTTAAAATCTGTACAACCGCTGAATCATGTACAAAGGTACTATTCTGTCGTGGTCGCTAGGATATGGGATGTCATGGGATTTGTTGCACCAGTGGTCTTATACGCAAAACTTCTCATAAAACAACTTTGGTTGTGTGAATGTGATTGGGATGATAACCACCCGACCAATCATTCAAAGTGGTACCGTTTTAAGGAGGAACTTCCTCTTCTTGGAAAAATTAAAATTCCACGACATGTTGGCATCGCGACCGGTGATGTTGTAACCGTTGTGGGCTTCGGGACGCAAGTGAAAGGGCTACGAGGAGTGGATTTATGTAAGAGACAGTCAAGGTTTCGCAAAAACTCATTTAGTCTGATAAGCCTAAATCTAAAGTGTCACCTCGTAAGGTGGTTTGCTAGCACGTCTGAGCTTTGTGCAATATTAGTCCTAAGCAACTTAATTGCTAATGTAATTAATGTTGTAACAATCGCATAATATAGATGTGGATGCTCGACTGAGCTTGGATCGCCCCATGTTGGGAACTTTGTTGCTATAGAGTCTCTAAGATTCAGAATGAATTTCCACCGCAAACATTTGATCACATGTGGCCATGAAAACCCCGCTATGTTATCTCGTGGCCTTATCCCGCACAAATCATTGATCATCCGCTTTGTGGGTCCTCATGATTTATAGATCAGTTTTTGGCCTGTACGGATTTTAATCCATCTACTGTGTCTCAGCCTAGAAGTAAAGAAGATGTAACTCTTTTCACTGCTGAAGATTGTGAAAAGGTTGAGAAAAGTTTTTAATTACGCTTGCAAATCTTTTTTCATCTTGGTCAAAGCTTTTAGCATTGTCGTTTATATCTGTTTGTTAAATTATGCCTCGGGTAGTACTATAATGAGGGATTTAGATTACGTGAGAATTAAACTGAGTACCTTCAACGGTCCCACTTCTTCAACGAAATCGCTAGTTACGTACAGGCAAGCGATGTACCCTGCTTTTCAGCGCCTCAAGCCATTCTGTCAGAACAAACTTTTAGAGTCGGAGGACGGTTGAGTAACGCCGATATAAAATTTGATAGTAAGCACCCACTCATACTTCCTGGAAAGGTCATATTTTGAACCTTATAGTGGATTATATACAAATTGAATTGCCATGAGGTCGGAGCTATTGATGTCCATACTGCGACAAAAATATTGGATTTTGTCCGCTCGAAATTTAATTCGAAGCCGGTTCACAAATGTTTACCCTGTTTTGACTCCGGCTAAACCAAATTTTCCTGAAATGGCCGAATGCTCTGCGAGTACAAGTCGCTAAACCCTTCGTACATACTGGACTGATTACGCGGGTCCCTTTAAAGTGAGTAGTTGGGGACGCGGAATTCGATCGTTAAGGCATACGTATGTCTTTTTGGTGTTAACCACCCGCGCTGTTCAATAGAAGTTGAGGTGATGACAGAGTTCTTGGAGCTTTTAAGCGTTTTCTATCACGCCGTGGTCCCGTGGTGGTGTACTAGATAACGGACTAATTACGTAGGCGCAAAGCGCACGCTTTAGAGTAAGACTTCTTATTTCAAAACACTTTAACTCTGATTGGCAGTATTAGCTGAAACTCGCATTGATTGTCATTAAATACTCCAGTGCTAGTATTTTGTGCAATTGGGAGACCAATATTAAGAGCCTTAAAACTCATTTATACCGGGTGATAGGTGATCAATTTACTTTGAGGAGTTCAGCACTGTACTTGACATGAGGAGTGATCTGCGGCCACTGTGTCGCACGCTTCCAATGATCCATCGGAACCTCTCGGTTAACACCCGCTCACTTTTTAAACTTAACACCGCTAAAGTATCTACCAGCTAGAGAAATCGAAGAAGATAGATTACATTTGTTCGCGTATGAGTTAGTTGACAAGCTAGTGCAGTCCTTTTGGAAGGCTGGAAGTCTGATTACCTTCATAATTGCAAATGCGGAACAAGTGGAAAGCCAGCTAAGCCAATTTCTAACGGCGTTTGTAAAGATTGTTGAAAGACGCGCCACGCCGTGAATAGAGGAAGTTTTCCTGGTTCAAACGGGTTAACGGTGGTCCGCGTTCGCAGGCGTCAGGTACCTATCTACGTCCTGTAGTACGTCTCTGTCCCCTACCTAGCGAATAGTTAATTTGTATAGGTATTGGTTAGTTATTAGTTTACATTTGTATAAGTCAGAAGTTAGTTACTTTAATAAACTTTTCTTTAGATCGCTTTTCATATCGTATCATTTACTTTCTATTTTTTCTTGAAGGCAACCCTTCAAACCCGGGGAATGGTTGGCGATTGTTATTTTATAATAATTTTGATTTTAAATAATGGTTGTCAAAATATACTCATCCTATAGTCTAGACCATGTCTCATCACCCACCTATTTTATGTCCCAATCCTTGACGGTACTAGTTCCGGAACGGGCTTAGGTGGGGACGACGATAGTCTCTAATAAGAATTAATAGTAAATTTTGATGACCCGGTAGGTTTTATGCAGGACCGCTCCTTTTTAAACATTTAATTTTTTATTATAAACTTTAACTATACTTAATTTCATTAAACTTTAACTTAATTATAATTTGTGAAAGTATTGGTATTGGTGTACAAAAAGGAAAGAAGCCACTAGAAGAAGCCAGAGTTGAAGGTACTGGCCATCCTTTCTTTCTTTTTCCATTTCATTATTGAGCAAATTAGGTAAATAAGAAAATCCACTATATAACCACTTCAAATATAGCTTAAGGTATAAAGTTAAAAGGATAGACTCTACCTAACCGTATATTAAAGCTTTTTAATCCAACCAACAAACTGATAACGATTGTCATAATCGATCAATATAATATTTACTTTTTAAACTGTGTATTTAGGTGAAATTAGATGAATTGTTTGAAGAAGATGTACTCGAAAAGCATTGGTCCCTTAACAAACTAAAGAATGGAAAAACGTGGGAGTCTTGGGTGAAGACGTATTGTGAACGAATTAAAGATGAAAATGGTAGTTATCTATTTATAGAAATGTTAAATAAAATATAGTGAAAATTTTGGTATAAGTTGCTTCTATTATCAAGCAAACTTAAACTTTATTAATGAAATATATTTTACAAACTATATTTTTCCTCTTTTGATAATGAAAATTTTGGAAATTTTGGATTTTTCGTGTCTCTTATTAATATAACCAGAATACAAGATAACATTCAAATATTTGTACAGTGACCGATGAAGAGCGACGCGCACGTATGGTTCGAGTGAACCCACTGTATGTGCCCAGGAACTGGATCCTCCAGGAAGCCATCGCTGATGCCGAGAAAAACGACTTCAAAAAGGTAAAATTAACTTTCGTAGAGTGTAAGAGACGTTCGTAGTAGTGTAATAATACGGTAAGTAAAAGCTGAAAAACGTTCGCTGTCATCAGACAGTTAAAGGTAACGATAGACATAAGGAGAAAGGATTTGGTGCGTGGAGGATCCTCGACCAGATATATACAGAAACACTTCGTTAACGCGATTCAGGGACGTCATCATACTGTAAACGCAGATTATAGGTGTCGCTAAAGAAACGTACCATAGCAAGAATTAAGTAAAAATAAGTCGCCCAAATGTATACGTGTAGAACTACCGAACTATTTTTATTTGTTTGTTTGTATTGACAGGACAAAGTTTGTAAAAAAAATTTTATTCGAAGATATTATGTTTAATGTCAATACGAAAAGTCAATAAAACCGAAGTGATCTTCAATGTATGATAGATACCAAATAGTGGATAGTCCAATTATTAAGGAACCTTATCGAATGAAACTCTCGTATTATAACATATTTATATAGTTTTGGTCCCGCGGTTTCACCTACGTTTATTGGGTCGTAGCGTGATATTATGTATTCTTTATCTATAAATACATTACCCAAGGAATATAATTATTAATTCCATTCGAACGATTAACGCGTTCCACTTCTGTTTTATGGCATTAGTATACATGGTACACAGGTTAACGCGTATGACATGTTCTATTCCCGGTGATTATCATTCATATTTTCTAGGGTCGGTAGGCACACAGGGCTGATAAGTGTCTTAAAATAACATAAATGACATTTTTTGTGCAGGTCCAACATCTAATAGAAGTATTCAAAAAGCCGTTTGAAGTTAATGAGGAAGCAGAGAAACTCGGTTACTCCGCACAGCCTCCGAGTTGGTCTTATGGATTAAAATTAAGTTGTTCTAGCTAATTACATGTTAGAAATGTAATTTTATAGTGTTACAAGTATAGAGATTTAATAATGTGATATTTTAAGATGTTTGTTATAAAAAAATATATTTTAAATAGTTATGTATGTATTTTATTTACTTATTTCAGCTATGCAATGCAAATCTAGGTAATAAACCTGGATGATTATAAAATATGATAGAAACAAAAATTAATTCAAAACGACTGCATTCATAATTTTAATCAATAAAATATTCTTATTCACTTATAATGCTGTACAATTAAAGATTAAACATAAAATATATCATAATTTGAACTGTGACAAAGAATAAATATTTTTTTATCACCTGATTAACTTAAAATTCATACATAATCTTCATCACCACTATCATCAGGTTCAGAATAGTCTTCATCTAATTCTATTTTTAACTTTTTCTTTATTTGAGTATTTTCTTTGTTCTCCTCAACATTTTTTTGTGCCTCAGTTTGAGCTGATCTGTGATGGAAAACAAAGGAAATACTCTTTGCAAGGTCCCAACACTGTTTTAATACTAAATCAGCTAAACTCTTTTTATCTGCACAATGATACCAATTGGAAAGGTCGGATGTACAGTCCGAGTTCTCTGGTGGCAATGTAACTTGAATATTATTGACACAACGCTTGCACTTAAACTTACTATGAGTATCTGATAATGTATTTTCTTCAAGGCGAAACAAATCTTTCAAATCATCAGATGTAAAGTGACGGAAAGAGTCTTCGTTTTGATCAACAACTGTATCACTGAGTGCTTTCTTGTGTGCTTGGCGCTGGAATATTTTTTCCTCTATTGTCCCAGTAGCCAAAAGACGATAGATGTAACAGGGTTTCTTTTGACCATCACGCCATACTCTAGCCATTGCCTGATCATCATTTGCAGGGTTCCAGTCAGGGTCAAACATGATCAGTCTATTAGCACCAATTAAATTTAAACCACAGCCCCCTGCTTTTGAACTCAGCATAAATATCCACTCCTTGGAGTTTTTATCATTAAAACTTTCTACCACTTTGGCTCTCTTTTTAATAGTCATAGAGCCATCCAATCTTACAAATAAATACTGTCTTTTGCGACATAATTTTTCAAATAAATCCAAAGTTTGTGTATAGTTAGAAACTAGAACAATCTTGTCATCTGTATTTGTTTTTAAATTAGCTAATATACAGTCAAGTATCATTAACTTGCCAGAGTATTCTGGTCTCACATCTTTAATATCATAATTACTAGGTAACATATCTTTGGCCTTTTCGAAACCTTCTGATCTTTCCATGATTTTTTCATACACTAAATCTGGATGATTACATAATTTTTTCAATGTAGTTATACTAGATAAAGTACTAAGAGTATTCTTATCACCAGAACCAGAAAATTTATTTCTAATTGCATCAGAATTAATAAAATTTTTGTAGATCTGTGTCTGTAAGTGAGTCATTTTAACACAAATAACTTGTTCGAACTTGACTGGCAAGTATTTAGTTAACAAAGTACTTGTTCGTCTAATCATACATTTGTTTACTATTGATGTTAAGGTCTGAAGACACTCTTGAGCTCGCTCTCTCTCTCGATCACTTGCTAAAGCATCTTGTCCCTTTAGGATATGATTTTCATAGCGTTTCTTAAATTCTTGGGCTGTGCCAAGTATGCCTTCATTAACAAAGTGTACTAAACTGAAATATTCTGTCAAATCATTTTGTATAGGTGTACCAGATATAAGTATACGTCTTTTTGCCTTTAATCCCATTAATGCTTGATAAGTTTGGTTCTCACTATTTTTTAACCTATGTCCTTCATCACATAGCACCAACCCAACTTCAGATGAATGTAAAATATTAGAATAAATTCTGAAGGTTTCATATGATATAATAAGCACTGGTGTAGCAACTCTCATGGCATTATAGGTATTCATAAACTGTTGTAATTTTAATGTTATTTCAGCCTTTGAGCCACCATCCATTGGTAATGCATTAATTCTTTGACCAAGCCATTTGTGGATCTCATTATACCAGTTTTTCACTAAACTACTAGGACATACAATAATTGCTTTGCTAATTGTTGGCTTACAGTCTGGACCTTGGCGTAAAAGAGTCCAAAGAAGGGTTATACACTGCAAAGTCTTTCCTAAACCCATTTCATCTGCCATAATACAGCCATAGGCATCATCTATTTGCATTCCTGTCACACAATCATACATAAACTTGACACCCTCTCTTTGATGTGGTCTTAAAATATTTCCCAGAACTGGATCAACAACTACTGCTACTTTTACGTCATTAGCATTCATTTTCATTTTCTCGTGTTCAGGAATGTGAGGTGGAAGATACAAAACTAAAGCATTTGGCTCATCTGGATCATGCAATGCACGCCGAACTTGGGTTCGCTTTAATCCCAAACTTTTACTGCAATATGACGATACATAATTTGGAATAGGGACTCTAAAGGGTTTACTTAATATTTGTTTAATTAGGTTTTCGTGATCAGAAGACGACAGTGCCTGTGAAAGAGTTTTCTGTGCAAGAGGAATCCTTGTACACTCTCGCTTCGTCCTTTTAGACGGGTTTAAAAGGGGACTCTTAAATACATCGTTGCTGGAGCCAATCTGGCTCGGTGCCTGGCTGCGCCGCATTATGTTAAACGTTTACAATGCACTTATTAGTTGAATAAAGACAATAAAACATGATTAAAATATAAGTATAAGTAACATTGAAAATTCAAATTCATATTTCAAAATATTTGATGATTCGTGAATAGGAATTCTTTGTTATTTTCTGTAACGAACCTGACATTGACTAAAGTAACTTGACAGTGTATGTTAGAACTTTTTTTTTTTTTTTTTTTTAAATAGCCTCACGCAGAGCGTATTGCCACAGACAAAGGTAAGGAAAACGGAATAGTAAAGAAAAATAATTTTACACCGAATGAACATTACATCGATAAAGGATAGGATCAGCAGGATATAAAACTATCTCTAATACAAAGTACTACATTATGGAAAGGAACAGTAATTAATAAAATATATATCATACAAAATACGATTTGTATACATATGTATGTACATATTTATAATTTTATATTATTTAGAGTAAGAAATAAACATAACTTTTTATATATATTATTATTTAAAGATGAAAGCAGAACAGGAACAGATGTAGGTAACGGATATAGAAGAAGGATGAGAATGATCGAATACATGGAGTGGTTATACCGAGGACAGGACAGAATGATATGGTTTAAATCACCAATATTCAGCCCACACTCACACATTTCACTATCAATAATATGAAATCTGGAAAGGTGGGCTGGGGTACACATGGCCCAATCTCATACGAATGAGAAGATGTTTCCTTTTATTAAATTTCATTTTAAAAAACCATGGCTTTAGTGGTATTGTGGCTGTATACATGAAAAATATTTACCCTTAATTAAACTGCTCTGAATCAAAGGTCAGTCCAAGATTGTCGAAGAAAAGAAGCAGGAAGTGAGGCCAAATCATGATAATAATTTTTATAGATTAGAATCGCCATCCTTAACAGCTTCATTTGCTAGTTGGTCTGCTATGTCGTTACCAAAAATACCAGAATGTCCAGGTATCCAACCAAATGACACAGACAACCCCAATTGCTCACATTCATACAACAAACTCCTAATCTCAATAATGATAGGAAAAATTAATTTTTTTTTAATGGATATTTTTGGAGAGCTTGAAGAGCACTAAGTGAATCTGTGAATATGATGGATTTCTTAATTTCTTACTCAAAACTAATTTTAAAGCTTTAAAGATACCGTAACATTCCCTGTGAAGATTGAGGACTCTGGAGGAAACATTATTTTTATTGTAGTTTTACTTTGTAAGTGAAATACTCCTATGCTAATTAAGACGAAGTTTTAGAGGAATGTTAGAACTTTGAAGTTAGTGCTATATAACTATAGTAACTGCTAATATAAAACATTTGAGAACACAGATGTAAAATACAGACTTGATAATAATAATATATTATATCAGGCTGATTGAGTCCTTAAAACGGTAAACAGCCGACAAAATTATCAATGATTTTAGACATGACATCCGTCATCTTATTTCAAGAAGGCATATGATACACAAATTTTTAGTGTATTTGATGTAATTTCTAATTAACAGTTTTTAAGGGTGCGTCCACATCTGGCAATTGCGCCGCGAATGTGCAGCTCGCGAGCCGTTTTCGCGCGCGTTCAGTCACAGCAATGGTTATGTGCGCCTCTTTAGCGCAACTCATGCAAGGCTCGTATAAGGCTCGCGCTTACAGTTCCGTATACTGGCGTGGACGGAAGTTAAGCGCGAGCCGCTGAGAGCTCTGCCCGCGCGCTAATCGCGCACGGCGCTTAGGTTGCGCGCGGGCGGCGCACGAACAAAAATGCACGGGCGCAGCTCGCAAACTGCGTGCGAGCTGCACATTCGCGGCATATTCGCCAGTTGTGGACCCACCCTTCGATAGTTCTCTTTACAATACAATACGTAAAACTAGGCGTTGTGGTCTAGACGTTCTGGCCAGAAGAAAACTTACAGTATTAATAATCAAATCGTATTTCGGATGGGATGAATAAGTAAAAAAACAATTTAATTTTATCCTTTATTGTATCAAAAAAGAAGGTTTTTATATGCATCAACTACATATATATAAAGAAATTAAGCTTCAATCGTTTTTAACGTTACTTACATCACAGATTAGTTAGCGCAAAATTCTTACTTGTTTAAAAAACAAACCATCTTTGATGTTCAATTATACAGCATGCATTTTTACAAAACTCAAAACAAGTATTAAAAAACAAGTGTCTGTAGGCACATTTGAAGTATATGTGGCTTTTACTTTTTAGATAATCTGAATACTTTAACTGACGCTTCATCAAACACACAGTCTGTTCTGGATGGATACACACTTTTCAAATTCCCTTCTAAATCCACCACTTTCACCTGGAAGTAGAAATTATCTTTAATTAATCACGAACTTATCTATGTTTAGGTTGGAATATAAATATTTAAACATTCATACATACAGAGCAATTCAACTCACTTCTTTTTAATTGTTTATTTTATTTTCAGTAATTCACACATGAGTAATAAGAAAATTAAAGGACACATTGTAGTTCAAATACCCCTTACTCAACCTAGATTAGATTAAGGAATGTATTTGACTTCACTAATCACTACCATTATACAAACCTGTTGGACGGTGAGAGTGTGATAAGGTGAGTTCTCTTCATCTCCAATGCCTAGCATGAGGCATTCTTGGAGAAGTTTGTCCATCACAGTCTTGCAGGCCCCTAGAGAGGAATGCGATGTCACCTCAACCAACATTGATTTACTTTCATAAGACATCTAAAATGAAAAAACCATTATATTTAATAATATTAGTGTAAAACTAATAATAAAATGTATATGTATATTTCAAACTACAAAAATCTCTTGTAACTCAGCTGCGATCAGGTAACTTTTTACAAGAAACAATAATTCAATAAAATCAAAATGCATAATTTCTATACTCACTTTAGTATCATCTGAATTAGTGATAGGCGGAAAACTGATGACTCTACCTTGAGAATCTTCCAAGCATGGGTATTTGGGTTTTCCTTCCAGTAAATATAGGTATCTGAGTAAATAGACAAGAAACATAAACAATAAAAAGGTTATGCTGTTCAGCAAGTTCAACAAAATATTTGTATGTCAGCCTGCCTCTTTTCTATATATGTAAAATGTACCAAAATTTACGTACACATAACACTTAACTTCTAAACAACTGCATCAATTGGATGATTTTTTTTGAGTTATTGTTACATTTATATAGAAGAAATAAAGAAGTAAATTTTTTTTTTAAACTTGAAAACAATGTTTGATTATTGTAATTGGCAGATCTCTTCTTCTTTCTTGGTCTATATGTGTGAGTCATCTTGAGTCATATTTTGAGAGGTGCCGTTATGTATGGTATGCGGTGTGAATTAGGCAAGATTCAACAATAATTTCCCTATTACTTTTTTATTATTATGTCAATTAAACTACTCTATAATAATTCATTATCTGAAGCTATTTAAAAAAATACAATATAAATCCTTATCCAAATAAATAACTAGTTCATCACAGGTATTTCATTTGGAAAAATATAATAATAGCAATGAAATAATTTTATTTGATTTAAAATAACTTCAATACAAATAATGGTCATTTAAAATAATACTTACTTATGAATACCAGAATACACATTTCTTTTCTTCTCCTTTCTTAGAGCTTCTGCCTCGGTGGTCAGCTGGTGGAACAGTTGTTCACCAGTAAATGGTTTGGATCTTGTAAGAGGTGTCAGTTTTAGTTTTGAAGGAAGTTTTGCTGTGTATACAAGATTACCTATAAAAAAGTCATCAGTATAAGTACTAGTAAATTTAAATAATAGAACGATATTTTTTTGTGATTATATACATACATCTAATAATAACTAATGGCTGTGCTGTTTTATAGGACTAATAGTTTCATAAATAAGTAGATAAAGATTTTTTATACATAAAACCTTTATTATGTTTATTTTAAGATTATAATCAGTTTACCATAGTAAAATGAAAAACTTTTAAAAATCATTTTTAAGTGTCATGTCAAATGGAGATAAAAAAGAAAATATTTTCTTTTACCTGGCGGCATCTTCGCTATGTCATGTGTAGCTATTGTTGCAACATTGCGTTTATCACAGACTGTATCGTGTAATTTAGTTTGCATCTGAATGAATTTCTTGAATAATGCTTCATCAAAATGCAAATCATTAATTATGCAACACAAGATAAAGGGGCGAATATTGCAAACTTCATTCTCAACTATTTTAACTTTTAATGTGTCGTCATCTACATGTAAGATTTTTAGACTGTGACAAAGATCATTAATATTTTCTTCAGGTTGTGGTTCTTCTTTTTTGCCCTTTTTCCCTTTCTTTCCTGTTGGTTGAGCATTGTCTGCTTTTGGGCAGTGTTCTCTTATATAGTCTAAAACTTGCTTTGTACGACACTGATCAACAAGCTTTTTGAGGCGCTTATCAGACAGTTTGTTGCCTTTTAGATTTAGTTCTGAAATTAGGGGAAAAAAAAAGAAGATTGTCATGATTAATTTTAATGAATTAAAGTTTATTTCCTAATAAGAATGAAATGTGTCTTAAAATAACCAAACAACTTAAAAATAAGCGATTACCTTTTAATTTCGACATAGAAGCTATTTCGCCTGGAATAGTCGTCAATTGATTGTCACTAATATCAAAGTTCTTTAAAGACTGTAAAGTACTAGCAACATAGGCAGGCAATACCTCAATTAAGTTCCCTTTAATCCTGAAATCTGTGAAGTGTGGAAAACTCCCTCCTTCCATGTCAGGGAAACTCGTAAGCTTATTATTTGAAAGATCAAATGTTATAAGGTTTAGCATATCGCCAATTTTAGGCATCTCAGAAATTTCATTAGAGCTTAAGTTTATGTTAGTAAGCTCTTTCATTTTATTTAAACTGTCTGGAATACATGTAAGTTGGTTTCTTGAAACATCTAAAACTTTTAACTTTTGTAATAAGGTTATGTTTTCATTAAATTCCGTCATTTTATTACCGTATAATAGTAAAGATTGTAGATTCGCCAAGTACTTTATTTCATCAGGTATCCTTGTTAGACAAGTATCGCTGATATTTAAAAGATTTATGTTGGTTAACTGAAATACATTTTTATCTAAACCTTCCTCTGAAATTCGCTTTGAAATAGCGGCGCCTGATAACTTGATTTCATGTCTGTTTTCTGATTTCGCCGTAATAACTTCTGGCCATGCACTCATTTTAAATTTCTAGGCAAAATTTGAGAAAGAATACTTTTAAAAGAATTCCAAGACAATTTTAAGAAAAATTCTCACGTTTTTCTGTTTCTGTAGCTGTCAGAAATCAGAATTCTCAGTCCTAGTGAAATATTTTACCAGTGTTGCCAGATGGTCTCGGCGACGTACCCCTAGACTTATTTGATTTCCCCCCAGAAATCCCCTAGGATGCCTTCAAATACAAAAAAAAATCTTCTTGTGTAGTATTATTAAATAGTTCAAATTGTAAGAGATGAGATAAGAAATCTTTCCGCAGCGGCGCAAGAAAAGTTACACCATTAGATTTCTTCTTTTGGGGATACGTGAAAGATATGATATACAAAAAGCGATACGAGATCGCGAGTTACAAGCAGAATTGCGCCATATTATATCGAGTATTCACCATAAAATGATAAGAAAATCAAAATGCAGGGGACTCATTAAAAGATCGGCAATTTGCGTAAGACTAGAGGGATCACATTTTGAGCATTTATTAAATTAATTTACAAAAAATACGCACTTAATTGACTACGGCAATTTCATGTATGTTTCTAATTTGCAAAAAAAATTAATTTCACGCTGTTCCTTTCTTTTAAAATACTAAGTTACTTAAGAAGAGTTATTAGTTTTTGGCCATTCTTTCGATTGGCATCATAAAAGTAGGGGTGTTATTTTTTTATATTTAAGTCGGTTCGATTTCCAGACGAGGCAAGTAATTTTTAGAAAATCTTTAAATGCAGAATTACTAACTTTTAAAAATAACATAAAGTCTTTTTTTAGTAAAATACCCTATCTACGATATTTAAGGTACTTTGACTTCATGTCCCATAACTTTGGGACGCCCTGTATAGGTAGGCGGTAGTATAATCTGCCATTTCACAGACTAGCGGACTATCGAAAGTGTACGGCATTTATCTTTTATTGAAGATTGTCTAAAGTATTACTAACCTATGTTATTGCCGTACAGATAAAAGTCACCGGAAAATGACTCTTCGGAGGGAAGTAATTTACCCCATACACCTGTGTTCCACAAAAAAAAGTACGGCTGGTACTGATACTGCTGGAAAATGTTACCTATTTGTGAAGTACTCTCAAGATCATTTAATTTTATGTTGTTCTATATCATCATCACCTATATGCTCATCAGAGATATGTTGCGACCCTTGGCTTTCGACCGCTCCGCTGGAAATAAGTACGGCGATTACGGGTAAAGTATCTGTATATGTGTCCAAAAGGAATTACACAAATGCTGTACAGTAATAAATGACCTATATTGCTTCTGCAACTATCGTCGAATTAAAAATTTGCACCGACTTCCGGCACCATCACTTTATTACGGCACTAGATTTTTCGACATTTATTTTTAATCATCTATACACTAGAAATTCCATTCACTCACGTACTCACATGTACCGCTCAGAAATGACGGCATAGTGCTCAGAGTTATTTTCTGATATAGTAACAGCCTTCTAAGCGTTATTCACGTTGGTTCATTTGACAGGTTTTTTTTTTCATAGTAGCATCTTCCGTGGGCAACTTAATTCTGTTAATTTTGTGTCATGGTGCGCGCGCATCGTAAAATTTCACTCTCATAAATTTTTCATAACGTGCCTAAAGAGGTATAACTTCAATAACTTCAAAAATCTTGTTAGAAATAATTAAAGCTAAATATTATTACGTTCTTTGTTTAATCTGCTTGTTACCATTGTATTACTTTAGCATTCGGATCTATAGACAAAGGACATAAGGATCCTTTAAATACCCTTATTGGTGTAATATCTGTATAATGTTCATAAGATTGAAAAAGTAGGAACTACTTTTAAGCGTTTAAATAGTTAGGCTTACAATTTCATTCAGAAACTAAACTAGACAGCGCAAACTATCTTAAAATATGTCAGAATTTTGTTAAGATATCTAATATACATACATACTTATTGACATTCAAAAGCGAGACTAATCCATTTGAGTAGTTTATAATTGCATAATTAATAATATTCTAAGAATTTTGTGACGACCTACGTAGAAACCTGTTTCGTTGTTGAAATCGATAGTCTTGATTAAGTATGCTATAGCCTGTATCAGTGAAAGAAATATAAATAGTGGTTCTGTGTAAAGTTATCCAAAAATATAATTTTATATTATATATCTCTATATCTAATATATAAAATTCTCGTGTCACAATGTTCGCTCCCATACTCCTCCGAAACGGCTAGACCGATTTTTATGAAATTTTTTTATGCATATTCAGTATGTCTGAGAATCGTCTACTATCTATCTTTCAAACCCCTAAATGTTAAGGGTGGTCAGAAGCCTAAATTTCAATTTTTAATTTTTTAGACAAAACTTTTTGTTTTTATTTTTTATGAAACAACATACAAAAATACATACAACCCTTAATTTTCATCTACCCTCTACGATCAACCCCCATTTTTTTTTGTTAGTTAAGATCTTATGTATCGAAAATATTTCCAGTGAAACGAAATCAAATTAGGACCGCTGGAACACAGTGCGTTACAATGCCAAGAACTCATTCAAAATAAAATGAAAAAATAGTTCTGTGTAACGTTTTGATAATAAAAAGTAGAACACGTATTAAATTTTATTTATATTCAATTTTTTTAGAGAAAATGATGTGGACTGTAAATTAAGTTTTTAAATTTGTTTATCGACACCGTCATTTTTAATGAGCCATGTCTAATTAGTCACGCCACTAAATTTATCAAAATAATCCTTCATTTATCAATTAATTCTATTTAAATTAATATATAATCAAAGCATTCAATGAGCCAGTTGTTGTTAATGAGAGCTCAAAAAATGTTGACTCTCTTTATTTTCGTGTTGGCTTTTGTGACGGTAATTTATATCTTTTAATTTGTGGCGATTTTTTTCCAATTTCTTATATGAAAATTACAGACCGTACTTCCAGCCTATGTGTGAGATGTGCTCTGTTGGAGAATTCGCTTGTCTAAGCAACCATTTGCAAAAGTTTCCCAAGGGAGACATGGATAATTAAATATTTTTATTAAAATGAGACATACATAAAAGATTTTAAGCGCCATATACATATATACCTTAATGTTGGTAGCTATGATATTTTTTAATTAACTTTGTTAATTAATTTTTCTGTCATCTTTTAGGCTTTTGCCGACAACACTCCAGTGTATCACGCGAGTTCACAAGGTAATTTTTGCTATGCTATTTAGAAAGATATCGTATAATGTTTTAAAAATGATTATACCTTTTTTATTAATTTGATAAATATGTAGTTAAAATAATGTTTTTGTAGTGCAGTGGCAACTATATAATCGATTTTATAAGTATTCAAAATAGGAATTACACTATTATAACTATATACTCCTTTCATCAGAGTGAAATGAAGAAACGAAACTATTCGTATCAGGGGCATACGGTGACTGTATATTGTCCTCTTTACTACTGCTGCTTTGAATCTATAAAATATGTCTATGATACTGGTTCAACGATAATCTTTGAATTATAGACGATATTATTTTCCCTTCATATTATATAACCAATTGAGTACAACATATAATTTAATAATTTTCTAAAATGCTACATGCTAAATGAATGCTTAATAAAATTAAGGTAGTGATGATTTAATATTATTTGTAATCAATTAATAATATTTTTTTTATAATATGAGATAAAATTTTAATTACTTATCTACGTGATAGGATAATCTCATTCGCTTACACGAAATCGTTCAATCAATATTATCTTAATAATCCGACAACACCGGTCACAGGTTTCTTTCAAGGCTGATATCCAGTTAATACTGATAATGTTATAAAGAGGTGAAATATAAATAAAAACAGTGGCCCAAAGAGACAATTTCTCTTTCAATTTTCTTTATAATCAATTAGATGATGTTTCTTTGCTCTTCCTGGCGTACATACGCGAGTTAGATTTAGCGATAACTCTCGTTTCTGAAACTTATACCAAGAATTCTTAGTCGCACGCCTGTCACTGTCATATGCTGAGGAATAAGCAATTTTTTAAATATATAAAAAAAAAAAAAAAAGGAAAAAGGGAAAATTTAAAAAAAAAAAAAAAAAAAAAAAAAGGGGGGGGAAATTTACTGCTGACGAATAAGCAATTTAAAATAAGTAATATATCTAAAAATTAAATTTAGGACGGGGGAAAAAAAAAAAAAAAAAAAAAAAAAGGGGGGAGGGGGGGGGGGGGGGGGGGGGAAAAAAAAAAAAAAGAGACGAAATTTTATATAATATATCTTGTAATACTGTCACGGAGACATTAGGAAATTATATTACTAGGACTTAAACGTCCGTCTAGTGACTGTGACCGTGACCAAGAAGTTGTTGTTCTTACAAGAGGTTTCAAGGGACATTTCTCTTTAAACGAGTAAATGTAAATTACCTTTGCATCAACTGCGTAGCCAGAATGTTTGGTTGACTATTTATTTATTTATTTATTTAGTTATTAAGCCCACGACATCACACACAGTCCTAAATCTACAAATAATAAAAATGCTTACATCCAGAATGTGAAAAAAACAAAAGCAAAGTTTCTCGAAAAATATATTAAAAAAAAAAAAAAAAAAAAAAAAAAAAAAAAAAAAAAAAAAAAAAAAAAATTTTTTAAAAAAAAAAAAAAAAAAAAAAAAAAAATTTACAAATTTCAGTCTCAGCTATGATTTCATAAAGTTGTTAATACACCCTTACCAGTTGTTAATACCCTGACTACTAAATTTAAAATCGTGGTGTAGCTGTTGGACCTAAAAATCATCTTTGGCCTAGACCTGAACCTAGAATCATTGCAATATTGCAATGTTTGAATTGGGAGCGGTTCCCCATAACTGGATACCGCTCTAGATTGGTATAAGAATACATTTGTAAAGTAGTTATTTATTTTCGATAAACAGTTGTGATTTTTCACGATTAATCATAAGAAACCAATATTTGGAGTACACACAAATATATAGTATTTACAATATTCTTAACCTATATAATAACAATATGGACTAATAATTAAAAATTCATAAATAGAAAGTTAAAACAAATTTAAAAAGTTTTGTCCCTGTGGCAGTGTACCTTTAAATGAAATTGACGTTTTTGACTGAAATGTGTTTGCCTTTTGACTCTTTCGTCGATAATTGGACACACACGAATAGTAAGAAAAGTTAAGTTCGGCCGGAGTTTGAACACACGGACGGCTAAGAATATAAGGCTTTCTCCACTGCTTCGGGTCCGGCAAACGTTTATTACCGATCCATTTAGAAACTCACAACAGTACTTACGTGCTTCTCCCTACTCCGGCATCCGGTTTTTAACGATCCGATAACTTGCAGTCGGAACGCGGTGTTTTAGGTAAGTATACAAGTATCCAAGAGGTTATAAATTATTATTCACAAGTTTATTTATAGTTTCTTTAATTTGAAAGAATCTGGATAACCGGGACCAAACCAAATTATGTTGCTATTTACTTATATTTTTAAACCATAGTATTAGTGAACTATTTATTAAGTAGATTATAATATTTCAAGATAGACAATATAAAAAAAGTAATAAACTTGCCAGGGCAATAAAATATTCAGAATTTAGAACGTTTTATTAATAAAATAAAGTATATGGGTTTTAGTTAATATAAGTGTTGCATGATAAATATACAAGTATCGATTATTGTCGGATCGGATATAGTGGAGTAGCGCAATCCGGCCTTCCGATATTTTTCTCATGACCCATTCCGGTATCCGACGCCGGACCGGAGCAGTGGAGAAAGGGCCTAACAGAGGTTAACACATATGTAGTTACTGTGTGTATTTTTTAAATATATGTAAATTTTGCGTGTTTCCAGACCTCGACGTCTCTCTATCACAAGGGCGTATCGTGTCTGGATGGGAGGCGTATGAAGGCCAGTTCCCGTACCAGCTCTCTATTCGTATGGTTAATCAAAATGGAAGGGTTTCTGCTTGTGGAGCCACACTTATTCATAACGAATGGGCTTTGACCGCCGGTCACTGTCCAGCTGGGTAAGCGCCAATTTAACAAAGCGACATAAAATTGTTCATGTATTTTATATTAATTATTTGTGTAGTGTTACGTTAGTATTTAATTAAAATTACTTATAATTGCACATACACTACAAACCGTCTTGTATCTTTTGTAAGTACAAATAAGTGTTAATAATAAACTTAATTCCCGTTTTAATTGCCTAAAATAGGATGTATCTAGGGATAGCGTCTCCACGCACTTCCTGAATTTTGTTCGTGAATGTTACAAATATAAGCTTTTACGCCTGTCATTATAGTACGAAAGTATTTGGTTTATTGGCAGATGTATAATGTGTGTGTGTGTGTTTAGCAATTAACATATGTAATGTATAATGTATATTCCCGTAGGATATATTATTACGCAAATGCGAACGAACTATTACGAACTACAATACTAGTCCGATAAAAACCCAAATTACTTATATAATCGCAGTTTAGGTGGCGATATTTTTCTTCTTTACCTTGTAGACATGTACATATGGCTTAATTTCCATTCCAGTCGTGTAACCTTGGTAGTGCGTGCTGGTGTGACGGATATAAAGACACCTCAGTTGATGTTCGAGACAACTGAGTACTACACACATCCTCTCTATGTCGATCTCCTTCCATTCGTGCAGCCGAACGACATTGCGCTCATCAAATTCCCACGACCAGTCGAATATAATGGTAATTCTTCATATTTAAAACATTGCTATGTTTTTAAAATAAATTGTCACGTTTTTAGGCTGAAAATCTCGATTTACGTGTTTTGATATTTAAATTGACTTGTACCTACTATATTTTTCTGCTGTACTTAGTAAAACCTAAAGTTTCCAAATCCGCTTACCAGAGAAACAAATGTTTTTGTGTTAAAAGTTATCAATAAAACTGACAAGCTTTTTACTCACACATTCCGCTGGCTCTGCGACCCAAATAGCTTGGATTCCGAAAAGAGAAATTTACAGCGCTTCCTGTCCTGTGCTACCAGGCGACTGCAGGTTGACTGTAGCCGGCCTAGTAGTCGGAGATCAGTAGCTGATGAAGCCAGCAAATGACAAGCTTTTTGACATTTCTAGTTATTTCTTCGACTAAACTAGCTTCTAAATTATTATAAATATTTATAACGTAGAGCTTAAATTGTATACACTCCAAAATATTCTAGATGTGCTTCAACCAATCAGACTTCAGTCCTCGCACCATAAAAATAAGAACTATGACAACGTTGTGTTTACTGCCTTTGGTTGGGGAAGAAACTGGACTTCAGGTAAATTACAAATTATTTAATAATAGGTTTTTAGGTTAATTATATGAATGTATGTATTACTACTTTTTATTTAAAAATATAAGGACAGGTTACCTATTCCATATTTTCCAAAGAGAGACTTAGAGAGAAAGAGACAATTTTAGGGATAAGTTATGATTAAGATTTTAAAGGCAAGATGATTATTACAATGTTAATAATCATCTTCATTCTTAAGTCTTAGTTTAGGTCCCCTCATTTCTTTAAGGTGTTGCACCCGAGGTGATGAACTGGGTGTACTTGAAGGGAGTAAGCAATGAATACTGCAGTACGAGATTTGGTGGTTCTTCAATTATCGTAGACTCTACCATTTGCGCTGCCCATTACAATGTCACTAGCCAATCTGTGTGCCAGGTAAAAAATTGATGTTTTATTAACTTTGTTTATCAGCGATATATAAGTTTGACTACGTATGCAATGTTATGCCACCAGTTTAACCATCATTTAGGTTGGACGAAAAGACTTAGAAAAAGTTGAAGAAATATCTAAAGCCCTAGCTTATGTTCATAGCTTGCGGGAAATGTTAATTAATTCTTAATATCTTAGGGAGACAGTGGCGGTGGTATGACTATATTGGACAATGATGGTGAACTATCTCAACTAGGGATAGCGTCTTTCGTCTCCGGCAGTGGTTGCCACACTGAAGTTCCTGCCGGTAAGTTTTCTTTTGTTGACTTTTTTTTTATGTAATAGGAGGCAAACGGGCAGGAGGCTGACCTGATGTTAAGTGATACCGCCGCCCATGGACACTCACAATGCCAGAGGGCTCGCAAGTGCGTTGCCGGCCTTTCAAGAATTGGTAAAACGTTTTAATCACGTCTGCTAACGTAATTCAGTTTAAATCTGAATAAGTTCACGATATAGAAATCAAAATAATAAAGATTTCGTATTTAACCTCTGGTTCTTAGGTCATTTATGTTAACTAAACAAAGACTTTTAGATTATGTATTTCTTGCGTTTGTAGAAGCTGTGCCGGGCATCGAGCGTAACGCTAAACATTTTTTCAGGTTTCATACGCACGGGTCACTACCACGACTGGTACACAGAAGTCACAGGTCTTAACTTTGATTGGGTGCCTGCTGCAGATATTAAATAAGAGTATATAAAGATATATTGTGCAAAAACGTTTTAATTAAATGTTATGATTATAATTTTTATTTTTAGTCTTAAACCTTCAAGAGTATATTATAGATGCATTGGATGACAATTTTAAATATATTTTTACTAAAAACGTCAGAATACCTATACAGGGTGGCCAAAAAGTCGTGGATCAAACGCAAATAGGAGATAGATGAGGTCATCAGCTTCAAAAAATTGTTCTACGGGAGGTCTCTAAGATCAACCCCTGCAGAGTTATGATTTATTTTGCGATTCATAAGAAAATTGACATTTTTTTACTAATTCTTATTAAAATTCCAAAAAATCTATATATATCTTTTTCATAATATCCACTAGATTGGTACTGATGAGATCTTGCGTTAGACATACTATTTAAAGTTGTTTATTTAGTGTATTGAAGATAATATTAAGTTATACGATATACATTTTTTTCAAATCATAACTTTTTGTTTACTTCGGCCCCCACTGTGAAAAAAAATTACTGTACCGAAAAGTGACCCTATATTACAAGTTTTGACGCATTTATTAGGGATTCTGAAAAGGTATTACACATGGCCTCATCTATCCCCTATTTGCGTTTGATCCACGACTTTTTGGCCACCCTGTATAAAACGTTTTATACATTATACATATTTTATAATCTGATCCTCTTACTGAAGCTCATCTTAATTTTGCATTTAAATAATAAATCTCGCTGACCTTGGTCAATCTTGAAACAAGACGTCTAGTTATATCAATAATGTTATAGATACGCCTATAAGTGTGTTAAAGTTTATTTAAATAATTATTTATAGACTGCGTCACCTACGCTGTCTTATATATATATACAGACGAATGCTTCCACCTATAAACGCAGAGGGAGGACCCACGAGTGTAGGACTCTATCAAGTACAAATAATAGTTTAAAAAACTAAAAATACTAAACGCGGGTTGCTCGATAGACGAGGCACAGAGCGCCCCACGCTTTTTCACAATAATACCAGTATTTTTTGTTCATTACCATTTTCAGCCTAAATTAGGAATTATTTTTCACTTTTTAGTTTGATGTGCTTTAAAAGCGTGTTTTTTAGTTTTTTTTAACTATTATTTATTTTTTAGTTACATTTTTTTCATTTTTTTTTTCGGATTATTGCATTGTCATCGATCTTTGACAGATGCGCAAAGTTTGAATTAAATCTGTCCGTTAAAAGTGGGTCAAAATCGAGTCCGAAGGAGTCGGTTACATACATACATACATACAGGTGAAGCTAATATAAAGCGTGTAAATAAAATTAGACCTCTTCGCTTACAAAGTCAGTAGTATGTATAGGTATGTTATTAAAAGCTGGCGGCTACAACACATTTACACTTTGTGCTTGTGTAGTGTCTGTGAATAAGCGCGAGGCGTGATGTCAAACTGAAATACAATCACAAATACATCATGAAAAGACTGTCCGTCTCTCTCGCGCTCGGTCAAGCTTATGAGTATAAAAGAGACAGTTATTCTTTTGCTTTTGCTACTGTTTATGTTGATCTTTACTATACATGTTGATCTTTTTTTCAAACATTACCAGGGCAATCTCGTCAAATGGTGCACAATGTTTTTAATTATTTTAAGCATCTTAATAAAAACAGTTTAATGAAAAAAATGTTATATTTCATTTGACATCAGATGCAGAAAGCTGAAAGCTGATTTGATTTTTTTTTTGATTTGTTGAAAGCTGAGTTCACCACCATACTCCTGAATCAAAGCAACAGTCCAAACAATGGAAAATATCTGGATCACCTACTCCGAAAACGGCTAAGGTCGTTTTGTCGACCAACAAAGTCATGGCTAGATGGAGCGTATGTCGAAAAATGAAAAATTATTTACACGAACTACTCTTTCACGTTATTGGTCTGGCTTAGAACTTTTGGATCCACCCTCGTATGCACCTAATATTTTTATGTATTTGACACATTTTTATTTATTTACAACCCACCCAACCTTACTAAAACCAGAGTGGACTAAAATATATAGCTTGGCAAAAAAATCATATTTTGAAACATACTGTATGTGAAATTGCATTAGTGTGAGTACTGTGAACCCGCCAGCTTTCGATAACCGACCTATAACAGTGAGGCGGATTTTCCTATGCTTGACTTCATAATTGGCTGGACGACACTCTTACTTTTATTACCATGTAGCTGAACCAATATCTATATTGCTAAGTATAAAACGAATGCGAGTGTTGCGCCTATGTACTTCTATGCTTCTAGATGTCTGACACGTGACGAAGCTATCTCTGCACTCTCACCACCTTTGTCATATTTTTGTTAGACCAAAAATATAATAACTTAATAATACCACACGAAATAACATAAGTTCAAGCTCTTTACTATTAAAGCGTACCTAACTATGTATTAATATTATTTGTGACGCGTGCTCGGTGCTTCCAATGTGTAGGATTTCACATGAGTAATATCGTCAGTTGATACGCATACCGATTCCAAGACCAAGGTCATAAATCATAAGCCTCGGATTACTGCCCTGCGATTCTGTAACTCACTTTTCGAACTCACACAGCGGTTTTCGCATCGGCGGTCGCTCTCAAATCAGTCGTGAAGCAGTCATTTTATGATTTGGCATTCTGAAAAGGTGGGAGCTTGTAGTTTAATGTTTATCAGAATGCCAAATCATAAAATGACTGCTTCACGACTGATTTGAGAGCGACCGCCGATGCGAAAACCGCTGTGTGCGTTCGAAAAGTGAGTTACAGAATCGCAGGGCTGAAAAGAAAATTTAAATGACACCGCTAGATTTGTTTTCAAATTGCTTTCGGGACATTCATCTGAATAATTAAAAAGAGGGATTGTTCATAAATTGCATTAAAGAAATGTTTCGTTAGTCTAAAATAAAATTTTGAGGTTTTTAGGTTCACTATTTAGTATTTAGTGTTAAACAAAGGAAACGTAAAAGGACTAAACGATAGCGAAATGATATCGTACGACGTCGTATTGCAGTTGTTCCCTCGCGCATGCGTTACAATGTGGCCATATACTTAATTTTAATATTAAATAATACAAGCAAGATTTTTTATTTCGTATAATTAGTTAGTTTAACTATAATGAGAGGGGGGCCTCATAGCCTAGCGGTCTTATTAAGTGGCAGCTAGGTGAGGGGTACCCGGTTCGAGGGCAAGGTTTAAATTTAATTTAAATTTGTTCTCGGCCTTTGGGAGGGTTGTGCGGTACCGGGCGAGTGCTTAAACCGTACATGGAGGACACGGTCGAATTTCTAAAAGACAAGCACGAATTATAAAAAAATTATATACTTGACGCTGGCTAATGCACAAATCGTGCCAGAGCCATAAAAAAAACAACTATAATGAGTCCATAAAGGATCTAAGATTTTGTACAAACGTTCCATGAATATTATATGTGACAAAATTAAATTTTTAGTAATACATCTTTAAATTTTCTTTAGTAGATTAACACGTATAGAGTTCACAATGTTTGGATCTTGACTATGAAAGAACATAACACAAAGATTATTCTGATACTTTCCCAACATATTGGCACAACATATTCACTGGTCACACTGGTCTACATTTGGCGCGCGCGCGAATTGTCCTCTCAATTCAACATGGCGGCCACCGTGAACGCGCCTCTTGCATTCTTTTAAAACGTAATTAAGTCGTGTCAGAATAAAAGTGTAATAATGTTATTGCAGTGATCACTGATATTTGATATAAACTGTGTGTGTTACATTGTGTTGCATGAGTGACCATAATGGAGTGCTGGGCAGTGCGCGGAATGGACGCCATTCACCGGCTAGTACTGAACAGCTAACGTAAGGGAAAAATATATTTAAATTTTATTCAAGAAAAAAAAAATTATTGCGACGAAAGTTTGACAACCACAGTACAAGTTTTTCAGAATATTCCATATTTAAAACAAAGCACCTAATTTATAATGGTTATATATAACATGCACTCTATGAGATATAATTATAATGCGTCGTATAGCATAAAATAAACCTTTTTAAAAATAGGATAACATTATTAGCCAGAAATTTACAAAAGGTGGCAATTAATCAAAATTCGATAAAAGGTTAAACCTTTTATCAATATTTAAAATACATTTTGAGAGGGTTCAATTCATTGTAAAAATATACTATGTATGTATTGCGTAGGTATGTGTATTTATCATGTGCAGGTAGAATAAGTTTACCGTCATAAATAACCTGGAGCAGCGTAAGAACCACTCCCATAAAATCTATAGCAAACTTACTAAAAAAAATATATATTTATTTGCTAATAATATCTAATGTTATTCAATTTTATCGTGTAGGCCTAGCCCTTTAGTGATTGATACACAATAATACAACCTTTATTACATTTCCCGTAATTACGCATTTTGTTTAATAAAAGTATTCAGTAAAAAAGGAAATTCATAAAAAGATGCCTTTTTTCGAAGTGAAAAGGCATTTTATTCCTGGAAAATATTTTGTGAATGTTATTCCAATGTCACTACAGTACTACAAACTGTAAAAATTTATTGAATTTTGTCACTAGTTGGAGCACAGCCAAGAATGAACTAAACAATTCTTATTTTTATGTTTTATCCTGTGAATATTTTTAAGGTAATAGATAGTGTTTGTCAAAATTATTGTATTCGAAAATTACACACGTATTCTAAAGTAGTTTAACGTCGTAATACAAACATTATCTATCTCTACACACACATACATATATGATCTCTAAATATAGTGTATACAACCCTGCTATTTCAGAGCGATTTATTTATTAACACTTACTTAAAAGTACATTAAAAACAGGGAACGTAAGTTATTAGGGATGCAACGGACACCCTTATCGCTAACAAGGAATCGTTTCCAGGCAATCATAGAAAAGAAAAATAAAACAGAAGTACTGTTTATGTGCAAAAAGTGCATAGGTAATTTTTAATTATTTTCCTAGAGACTGGTTATGACGATTTTTAATGATATTTAAAAAA